CAGACTCTTCTTCCCTGGTAGAAGAAAGTCAAAAAGAGAGGGCACTTCCTGTTCCTGGAAGTGGTGAAGATATCAGCCTCTGGCAGTCCACATCTGAAATATGCTGTGGAGAACCTGAATGTCCAGCTCCCATTCATAGTCACGGGAGAAGTGTCTGCTGAGGGCATTGGCTGTGATGTTCTAGATACCGGAGAGAGAGACTGCTGAAAGCTGGACATAGTGCACTATACACCAGTTCCAGAGCTCTATGGCTTCAGAGCACAAGGAGGGGATCTTGCTCCTTCCTGTTTGTTGATGTAGAACATGAACGATGGGATGTCTGTCATGACCCTGATTGCCTTGCCCCTGATGAGGGGCAGGAAATGGAGGTAAGTGTTTCTGACTGCCCTGATCTCCAATAGGCTGATGTGGAGACTGGCCTCATGGTCTGTCCATCTGCCCTGAACCGTGTCTCCAGGTGGGCTCCCCAACGTAAAAGGGATGTGTCAGTTAGAGAGTCCCTGACAGGGTTGGGTGACAGAAAGGGATGCCCGCACAGATGTGGAGTTGCTTCTTCCGCCAGTTTAGAGAGTTCTTTATATGCAAGGGGACAGTCACCCTGTCTGTCCAAGGTGTGTCTCCTCAAAGAGTCGGTTGTTCTGAACCAATCCTGGACGCAGTGAAGGCACAGCCTTACGAGATTGGCCACAAGGGTATAAGCTACCATATGGCCCAAGAGTTGAAGACAATTCCTTATCATGGTCCCCTGAAATGTTCTGCCAGACTTGACAAGATCACAAATCTGTCTAAACGGAGGTACACTTTGGCTGTCAATGAGTCCAAGTACACCCTTATAAAATGTATCCTTTGTACCAGTACCAATATGGATTTATTTATTTTCAGCTGTAGGCCCAATTCCTGGAACAGAGCAAGAGCCATGTGGGTGGAAACCAGCACTGCCTCAAAGGAGCAGGGTATGGGAAGACCAGGATCACTTCCTGCTGAAGGAAAGCCGCCATGCCTGCTAGAACCTTTGAAAACATCCTTGAGGCCGAGGATAGGCTGAAGGGGAGCACTTGATACAGGAAATGATCTTGGCCCATTGTGAATAGTAGGTATTTCCTGTGCAGTGGGCAAACAGTTATATGGAAAGTAGGCGTCTTGTAAGTCGAGGGCCAAAAAGCAATCCCCTTCATCCAGTAAAGGAATTATAGTTGCCGGAATCACCAGCCTGAACTTCTGAGGCTTTACAAACTTGTTCAACAGCCTTAGATCTACGATCGGCCTCCAACCTCTGTCCTCCTTTGGCACTAGGAAATATTTTGAATAGAAGGAAAGGGGACCAGTTCTACTGCTCCTATCAGAGGAGAGAGTCCACCTCTTGCCTCAACAGAAGCTCATGAGAGGGATCCCTGAAGAGGTATGGGAAGGGGAGTGGAAGGAAGTGTGTGACATAAAATGGATGGTATAGCTCAAATGTTATGACCTCCAAGACCCACTGGTCTGTGGTTCCTGGTGAAAATGGACAAGGTAGTCCCCAAAGGGAAGGAAGTGGGCTAAAAGGCACAACTGTACATCCAGAGGAGTGGGAGGATTTAAACCCCTGACCAACCTATCAAAACTGCTGTTTAGATGACACCTGAATGGTCATGGAGGGCAGTTGGGCAGCTATCTTCCTCTGAAATCTCTCCCTCTTTCTGAGACCTTCCCGAGGTCTAATGTACCCCAAGAACTGAGTAGGGCATGACCTCTGGGCACTCAAACTACTGAAACGTTTCTTGCTCGTAGGTGTGTCCAATGCCCAGGGAACACAGGGCAGCCCTGGAACCCTTCAACGTGTGCCGGGAGTCATTCATTGTCTCTGAGAAGGAGAAATCCTCTACTATGTTTTGAACCTCTCTTGGAAACCCTGAAAGTTGAAGCCATGACATCCTGAGCATAACTACCCCGCTATTGAGATAGAGCTGGCAGCAGTGCCTACAGCATATAAAGGACACTTGGAGAGCCATTCTGGCCAACAACTTCATAACTATGGACTGGAATTGCTCCTCACAGTCATGTGCCAGCTTTCAATAAAGGCTGCAAGCCTGTTGTAATTAGTCAAGTAGTATTTGGCTATGACCGCCTGATAGTTTGTGATCCGGAACTGCAGGGTTGAGGACAAGTATGACTTTCATCCAGAGATCCAGCTGCTTTTGGTCCTTGTCATGAGGGTAGATCCTGAAAATTGCTGCCTACCCCGTTCATTCACTACATCAACTACTAGGGAGTTAGGTGGTGGTCAGAATCCTTAAGCACACGTAGGTGTTTCTTATCCACCTTTTTGCACATTGGTGGAATAGTGGCAGGCGCTTGCTACACCATCTTAGCCAGGTGAGGAGAGCCTCATTAATAGGTAGCACCACTCTGGAGGGTGAAGCGGACTGCAAAATATTGAGCAGTTTGTGTTGCAGATCCTTGACTTCCTCCAGAGTGATCAGCTGAGTGGCTGCTACCCTTCTAATGAGGTCTTGAAGCTGCCTGAAGTCGTCGGCCATGGAAGGTAGTGGAGGCATAAAGGCCTCATCCAGCAACAACAATGAAATGGGAGTCTAAGGGGTGGCTTCTTTATCTGCCCTACCCTCCTGCTCCTCAAATGTCTCCTCCTGTGAGGGTGGTCAATGGGGAGGGGAAGATATGAAACCCTCCTCTCCCTGAGGGACTGTACCAATGGTTTGGTACATTGCTACTGACAGTTGGCCCATGGGTCCCAATATAGCCATTGCAGGGCTCCAGAAGAAAGTGGGTTTAGTATGCAAGGCTGGTTCCATTTCCTTTGGTGACCTTCAATGTACTCCCTGCAGCTGGCCAAAAGGCAATTCCCAAATGGGTATGTAGGAAAACCCATCACTCAAGTCAAAGAGACCATTTGGAAGCGGTCTTCCTCCACATCCTCCCATGGAGGGAGGGGGGCAGCTGTTGAAGATGGAGGAGGGCCCGGTGCCACAGGATGGCCGCTCAGAGACCAAGTTCTTGGTACCGAGAGGTGCTCAGTACCTGTCAACAACTCTGATAGACTCTGTTCATCCGACACCAAGAGGTCCCTCAAGTATCAGAATTTCTGTGGTACTAGAAAGGACCCCAGTACTGATGGCACGGCAGAACTCGATGGTATCCTGTGCTTGCCTTCCTCACTGGTGGAGGGTACTGGTACGCTATCGGAGATGTGCTTCTTGTTTTTTGAGCTCTGGGGCTTCACAGTCATGTTGGTACCGGAGGAAGAGTCCTTGGCCTCAACGATACTCTCAGAGACCAAGGATCTCAACGGGGATCTGGCTCCTTAGAGTGAGAGTCCTTGCTTCTCTTTCTGGGAGTCTTCCCAGTGAGCTCCAAAGACTTCTCTTGCTTAGGCAAGCCTGCCCAGAGGCTGACGGGGTGCCAGATTTGTCTGGGGATGGATGTATAGGGGAGAGGGGAGAATCTCCTGACCTAGCTCAGACGATGGTTGAAAAGATCGTTCCATGGCTAATAGTCTGAGCTTTATCTCCCTGTTCTTCCTTGCCCTGGACTTAAGTGCCAAGCAGAAGAAACACTCCTGGGAGACTTGGGACTGCCCCAGGCAACAGAAACATTTGGAGTGCCTGCCCATTGCTTATCAGTATAGCCTCCCAGCAAGAGAGGCAGCGTTTGAAGCCTGGCAAGCCAGTAATGCCCCGCCAAGACAAGACAAGTTGCCTGGAGGGAAAGAGAAAGACAATCCTCACACCTAAAAACCAAGTAACAATAGTAAATACTAAACACTAACCTACAACTATAAGCTACCTAACTGCAATAAAAAACAGAAGGCTGAGTACGTTCTTGGCCGAGGCAGTAGAGAAGGAACTGAGGGCGGTTCACCCACTCACCGCTACGTAGCGTTGGTGTCTGAGGGCTCGTCTACACTTACCGGAGGATCGACATGTGACGATCGATCACAGGTCGCTCTCCCATCAACTCCTGTACTTCACCTGAACAAAAAGCGCAAGGGGAGTCGACGGGAGAGCATCTCCCATCGATATAGCATAGTGTGGACCCTGCGGTAAGTAGATCTAAGTACATTGACTTCAGCTACATTATTCTTGTAGCTGAAGTTGCGTAACTTATATCAGGGATGAGCAAACTACAGCCCGCAGGCAGGATCTGGCCCACGAGCCATTTTAAGCTGGCTCGTGTGTTCCTGCTGGGGAGCTGGGTCGGGGGCAGCACCACGCGGCTCGGCCCCACTCCAGGGCTCCAGCCAGGGCGCCAGGTTGGGGACCGCCACACAGCTCCCAGAATCCGCGGCATGGCCCCACTCCGAGGGTCGCAGGCTGCTCCACATCTAGGAGCGGGAGAAAGGACATGCCACTGCTTCCGGGAGCTGCTTGAGGTAAGCGCCGCTTGGAGCCTGCACCCCTGAGCCTCTCTCCAAAAGCCAACCCCCTGTCCCAGCCCTGATCCCACTCCTGCTCTCCAAACCCCTCGATCCCAGCACGGAGCACCCTCCTGCACCCCAAACCTCTCATCCCCAGCCCCACCCTAGAGCCTGCACCCCCAACCAGAACCCTCACCCCTTCCTGCATACCAACCCCAATTTTGTGAGCATTCATGGCCCGCCATACAATTTCTATTCCCCGATGTGGCCCTCGGGCCAAAAAGTTTGCCCACCCCGACTTAGATCGATCCCCCCCTGTAGTGTAGACATGGCCTGAGACGAGGAGGCTTAAGGCATGTGTGACGGCTGAACGGTCACTGCTAGCTAGAAATCTCCAATCAGGGGCTCGAGAGGCACATGCGCATCGGAAGTGGAGTGCCCGTAGGTGTGTTACTCGAAGAAGAACCTTAAGGTAATCGCACTGAAAGGAGATACTTGAGCAGCTAGAATACATCAGCAGCTTCATGGAAGTAGGACAGCCGCAAGGGAAGCTCTTAAAAATCACCATAAACTGAAGTGGTTTCTCCTGGGCAGAAAGACTACAAGATTAACTCACAGTGAAAGCAAGCCATTTGGTTCATTTACTTACCATTGGCAGCCTGGATTGGAGCATCTGAAGATCGTCATAACCATAGATCTGCTTGAAGACAGATAAAAATACAACAACATTATAACACTTTTCTCTAATACTGGCCAATTTGGGGGGTTTAAGAGAGAGATTAATCTAGACCCAGCCTATTTTAAAAACACCAGGCTATCGTAGATCTTGTACTATCAAGATATATAGTTCTATTTCCAAGGGCTAGCGCAGTTAAAGTTGGGTTGACATATCAATTACAAATCCTCATTTTCCATGGTCATTAGCACTCTGAGATTTGAAGTCTGAAGACTGTGTAGTCAGTACAGTTCTCAAGGGCACACAGTTTACTGGAAACAACCACAAGACATTCAGAGCTAGGAGCTAATCAACCCTCTTAACTGCATTGTTTGCTATTACTGCTCCCTGGTACATAGTGCTCCAAGATTCAGTGAACAGGCCTTAAGTTTGCAAGACACAATCGTTTATTTCTAGGTTAGAACTGAGGAATGACTATTCCCTCCCTTCGGTGAAGAAGGAAAAGAACTAGTGGTAGGCCAGAGCGTCCAACTGAGGAGACTGGACAGTGCAGCCACTGAGATGAAGTCTGTTCCAAAGCATGCTGACATCTATCTGAAAATACAGATGACAGGACAAGTGGCTGCCCAGAAAGTCAAACATTTAACTCAAATGAGTCTATTTCAACTGAAAGGGCCTAATACTGATCCCATTAAAGTCCAGGGCAAAACTCCCATTTTTCAGTGGAAGCAGAATCAACCCCGTAATCAAGGATTTTCAAACAGTCAGTTTTGAATTTAGCAGTGAATTGCAAACCTGCACTGAATATACTTCCCATACCCTTCTTCAGCACCTGGAGCAACAAGTCCAGGATTCCACACGCAACACATGCCAAAAAAAGACACGCTGGCATAGACAGTGGCAGGTCTGGAGGATCCATTGGCACCAAGGAGTTAAGTAATCTACGGCAGGTACAATGAAGTTGCTTACTGGGTAGGCAGGCAGGAGTCCTCCAGGTCCCACAATATACTGGTTATGCAACAAGGGTGGTACACCTTGGGGCAGGTTGGGGGGAGCTTTGCCTGTAGAATCAAAATACAAAAATTTTAACAAGCCTCAAAGTAAAGGCTTCAGCCCTGAGCCAAGTTTGTTGGCCTGCCCTGAAGGCTGAACTCACAGTGTCTAGACAGCAGAGATATGCTTAAGAGGAATGGTGAATAAAAACTGCAAGCTAATAATACTTGAAAGAGGGCCTGAACATGATAACAGACACCCTGTTAGCTAAGGGACCAGACATACTAAGAGATAAGGATCCTACACAGGCCCAGAGGTAAAGAACATGGTTTCATCCCGGAGATCAGTCTGGGTTTGGTGGATTAGTTCTCAGGTTAGTAGGAGTCTGAAATGATGGAAAGGGTTATGGACCCATTGCTCCCTCCCTTAGTCCCTTTTCAGAGGAAGAGTCCAGGCCTCAGTCTCACTGCAACAGATAGCAACCTCGCTGCTCTGACTTTCCGCTCTGCTGTCAATCAGATGGAAATCACTAGTCATCAATAGCATCATAGCTCTCTCTTGTGGGTACTGCTGGCTTCAGCTATGGCAAGGAAGAGCGAAGAGGAGAGGTCATAATGCTATGAAGCAGGGCTGTGCTGAGGACCATGGGGCGAGAAATGCACTTTGTCTGGCCAGTAATTAGAATCTCCACTGGCAGTATGAGTGGGAAAGGGAAGAGAGAAACGCTTGTGCATAAGATTCAGCCAGAATGTTCAGTTCCTTCACCACTTTCCCCTAAGGGATATCCTGACCCATCACATTTCCTTTTGGCAGCTAAAGCTGACTACAAAGCCAGCAGTGAACTTCAGTACTGCTTCCATTTGAGCACAAGACAACTCATCTCCCTTCTCTGAAAAAGACGAGAGCCGCCACCCCTGCACAAAATGAACTGCCCTGGGTGTTTCGGGCACTCTTTCTCCTAGCAGAGCCGTTTGCAGTGACATGGGCAACGCACGAATCCAGAGCCTCTTCTCCTCAGTCACCAAGGCAGCAATGCTTTGGCATGGGGTAATGAAGGCTGGAATTGCAGTGGATTCTGACACTGCCACATGAACTTGGACTGCAGGGGGAGAGTTAGAAGTAAAAGCTAATGTGAATAAAGCCAAGAGCTGACCGTGTTGCTTAGTCTGCAAACCAATTCTCTACAGGTCCACACTGACTAAATCAGGAGCAGCTCTGGGTATCATCTATAAAGCTTTCTGAAGATAGAACATGCTACATAAATGCTAATTATTACCCATCAAATATTCCCAACACATAAAAGCAGGCAACTTTATTTCATAGGCCAGCAAGTAAAGCATGCTGAAAAATGCAAGTCTTTAAAGAGTGTATATTTCTTAGCGTAGTTATTGCTGGCGTGGTGCTCAACTGACAACCTGCAGACTGAAGTCCTCTGTCTATTCATGTGATTTGTTAATATTGCGAACCTGAAGACACTAAGGGAGCTGCCCGTGTAGAAGCAGCTGGCATAGACACACTGGTAACGCTCAGGCCAAGGCTGTTTGTAGTGTTCATACTGCTTGCCATGCTGACAACTGAGGATGTGGTGCTAGTGGCGGAGGTTGAAGCAGTTGAAAAGGTTGTTGAGGGCTGGAGTGAAGCTGTGCTCTCCACACTGGTGTGCTAGAAAGGAGACAAAAAGAATGGGGATCACAGAGCAGACAAACCACACTGCAAAACACCTGAGTAAAAACACCACCCAACCTTTTAGGTAACAGCAGCATGTGCAAGAGAATCCTAGCATTCTCATCTGTATTATATACATACGCAACAGGGACCAGTAAGCCAAAGGCTATAATTCCATTAAGAGGTTCTATAAACCTACCCCATGAGAATGAAACGCACGTCACCAGGCCTGAGTTGGAATTATATATCTGTAGTTCAGTTGCTTTTTTATTATGTTAACTAAGGTCATTTTGGCTCTCACCAGAATGATCCTTTTAACTTAGATACAGTCGCATTTATGTTCTCTTTGCAAGCGTCTAGGAGTTTATCTAAGGAAAAGGATATTTGCTTTAAAGGGCCCCTGCTAATAGGATTTCTTCAGGCCACTTGCAAAAATTAAAAGCGAAATGCAAACTTAAACACTGTGATGCCCTTAGTGGTAGTGGAGGAGAGGTGTTAAACTGATACGCAAGCCAGACATAGTGGCGAGTGCAACACAAGTGCCATAACGGCATAGCTAAAGCTCAGCAGAGAATGGGAAGAGGGAACGTTTGCTAAATAAGAGATTTCAAGGTACAGTAAAAGCTGTTTTATCCGGCACTTCACCAACGGGAAAGCTCTATAAACCAGCATTTCTGATCTTCATTGATACACTGGTTTCTAGTCCGCTTGGCGCAGGGCCGGCAGGAGGTTGGGGCGCGAGAGGGGGTGCAGAGCGTGGGCTCTGGGAGGGAGTTTGGATGTGGGAGAGGGCGGTGCCCTATCTGAGAGGGCCGCTCACCTTGGGTGGCTCCCCACAGGCAGTGACCTGTCCTGGTTGCTCCTCAGTGGAGGCGATCCTAGGCAGCTCTGCACGCTGGCACTGCCCTCGCAGCTCCCATTGGCCATGGTTCCCAGCCAATGGGAGCTGCAGAGCCAGCGCTTGGGGTGGGGCCAGGGCAGAGTGCAAAGCTGCCTGCCGTGCCTCCGCCTAGGAGCAGTTGGGGCAGGTCACCGCTTGCAGGGAGCCGCCTAAGGTGAGCGGCCCCCGGATCCGGCACCCCGTACCCCCTCCCATACACAAACTCCCTCCCTCTTAGTTAAACGGCATTTTTCACTAACTGGCACCCCCCATTTCCCCAATATGCCAGATAAAACAGCTTTTACTGTACTTACCGACTAGGGATGATGTAATGGTTTCTAACACACTTACTACATATACTGAACCCATACAGAAAACCCCTCTACTAACCATAACCAATCCATATGCCATTTTGGGGTTGCATACACAGGGGCAGCCCACCACAGAGCAAGACGGCAACTGTCTTTCTATTTAGCACTAGGATAACCACATCTGTTCAATACCGGTTGCCTTGTTACCAGAAACACACAGACGTATGCAGATGATGGTAATACCCATGCGACACATTCCAGAATCATGTGTTACATGGCGTTCTTCATACACCTTAGCGCATGTCACTTGCACACTGCCTGCTAACAACTCCACTGAGGTTAGTAATAACACTCAAAACTTCGGAGCAGCTTCAAACAGCTACTTTACTATGACTTTTTAATGCAACTTGTGGCAAAAATGTCTCTCTCTCTCTCTACTCCCTTACATGGAAGTTTCCTCTGTGGCTACATTTGTCTGAGGGATAGGATGGGCAAAATTCAGTGCTAGACCATTGACAGCTTTTATGTCCGATCAATCACAATCCGCCAGCACCAGAGACGAGCTCTTGATACTACTAGAGAGCTGGGAAATTGCCCCTCTTCCCTAGTGAGATAAAGCACTTGTCTCAGTCCCTGGGCATTGTGACACTGGCAGACCAAGTGTCAGCTCATGCCTAGGCCCCAATTAAACACTGATGAATGCATAGCTGGAAACCAGTCTGGCTCACCTGCGTGTTAATGTTATTAAAATAGGTATTCGATTTATAAAAATATGTTTAGACTTTATGAAATGCTTGTAGGAGGTTGCTTTTATTAATCTCACTTAATATAACCTAATAACGTGGGGTACAAACGTTAAGTGTTTGCATTGCATCTGTAACTGTGTAACTCACCAAACAGGAAAGAAGCATTAACTAATGTAAAGGCTGGCTTCCTATAGAAGGTGTTAGGTACTGTACACAAAAAGACTAACTGAAACCAAATGAGCCACTGTTAAGCATCAAAGGACAAAGACTTTGTTAACTGCATTCGTCCTCCCACCCCCATGAAGAGGAGACCTGTACATAAGTTGATCCCATCAGCTTGAACTCTGGGAGGAAGGGAATAAAAATCCCTGTCAAGAAGAAACTGGGTCTTTTATGCTGCTTGGACTCTGAGGGGCAAGCAAAAGATCCCCAGTGCTTGGTATGGGTTAGCTCTAAAGGACTTACAGAGCTTGCTTATAATAGGAGCTTCTATCATTCTAACTAACTCATTTGTGTGTATGTTTACCTGCTTTAAACTTGTAAATAACTCCTTTATTTTTATTAGTTTATTATAGGATTGGCTACAAGTGTTGTCTTTGATATAGAATTTAAGGTGCAATTGACCTGGGTAAGTGACTAGGTTTTTGGGACTGGGAGTAACCTGAATATTGACTTTCGGTGTAAGGGACCATCTCTCACAAAGGCAAGCTTGCATGGGTGGCAAGATAGAGGAGATTACCAAGGAGCCTGTCAGTGACTTCATGTTAAGGCTGTAATAGTGGTTTAGGAGTTCACACTTGATATTTGGTTGGTGAAATCTAAGGATAGAATTCAAAACCAGTTTGAGATTTGTGCCCTGCTTCTTAGCAGTCTGCCCTGAGGCCGGTACCACTCCAGACAGCTTGACAGGCATCTTAAACCTTTATCAGGAAAACTGACTGTCGATTTAATGAGACAAGGTGGGTGAGGTAAAATCTTTTATTGGACCAACTACTGTTGGTCAGAGAGACCAGCTTTCGAGCTTACACAGAGCTCTTCTTCAGGTCTGGGAAACATACTCAGAGTGTCACAACTAAATGCAATGCGGAACAGATTGTTTAGCGTAAGTAGATAACATATTTCAACACTGCAGACAACAATGTAGACTTAATAGCTGTTATGATTCAAACAGGACTTACCGCATGTGAGGTGCTCGCAGACAGCGCTGCAGCAGAAGAGAGGCTGTTCTGATGATTGGAGAGGGAACTAGAAAGACAAATTTTAAAGGATTAATCAATAAAACTAAACAGACTAATCATCCTGAAATTTCTCACAACTGAACATTATAAAAGCATTTAAAATACTTTTTAATGTTTTAGTGATTTATTTTAACACTAAAAATAAGTTATTGATATATACAGAAAACCAGTTCTGGAATCAAAAGCAACGTAACGTCAAAGATCATTTAACAGTGGAGAATGGCAATTAACTACCCTCCTCTCAGTGTTATAAGAAAGTCATTGTGGCTGACAGGAAGACACTGCTCATTAGTGCTTGTAAATTTCTCATGTTTTAAATGAGTAAAAGTTTCTTATTGAGTTGCCAAAGCAATGACAAGCCATTTATAATAGAAATAGAATCCCTTCTGCATAATACTGACCCCACTAATGAACATTACTGAGTATTAACACCACAATTCTGCTAATGGTCTCAACACCTTCAGGAAAATGGGGACCAAAGAAGTGTAGATTAAAAATGGTGAAGTAAAAGCAGGAAGAACACTTGTCACCTAGAATACCAAAAGGGAATTCCAGCATCAAACTGAAATCACACCACCGAGCCTCCAAATCCATTTTAATCACTCACAATATGCTTACATAATACTACATAGCTTCTATTGTTATCTGTAGTGTTGTTGTAGCCATATTGGTCCCAGGATTAAAAAGAGAGAGAGAGAGAGAGAGAGTGTGTGGGTGAGGTAATATCTTTTATTGGACCAACTTCTGAAGAAGAGCTCTGTGGAACTCAAAAGTTTGTCTTTCACCAACAGAAGTTGGTCCAATAAGATATTACCTCGCCTACCTTGTCGCTCTCATATACAAACTAATACCCATTATGTTTTAAAATATTCAAACACAGTAACACTCTGGTAATCAGAGCATGTTAAAGTGTCCATCACACAGAATATCCACTATCGAAATTCTAGGTAGAAATACAGTGAGAAGATACAGGAAGAGTGGTTCAAATAAAAAAAAGACTAAACAATAGGAGTTTGCATGTATCCGTATGTCACGTAGACTCTTCAAGCTAGGATTGCAACTTCTGAGCTCTCAAACCTTCACAGCTTTAGGCAGGTCTCCACTTTCTGAATTTAAAAAAACTGATTGCCAAAGTACACTTCATTTCATCAGATGATTTAAAGACCAAAATCCCTCATCTTGTTTACAAAGGAAAAGCCTCATCTCTCCTGAGAGCTATAGAGTTATAAAGGACAGAACTCAGCCATGAAATCAACAAATGATCAGCTCCTTTTGCAACAGTAAAGAGCTTGTTTCTCACCATCAGGGGTTCGCATACATTAGGACAGTTCTCGGAGGCAGACTTACTCCTCAGAAGTCTCCTAGCTGAAATGAATCCACATTCTTCCTGCTAGATGTGAATCTTCTGATGCCTCAGCAGAAGGAATACTGTCTTCCCAGTTCCTACATTTTCAGGCGAGCCAGCCATTCTCAAACTCCTAACCTTAACTTTTTAAAATCAACTCTCATTTCTTGTACTGCATTGTTTTGTTTTTCTTCTCCTCGAGTTAGACTGTCCGCCCACATCTAGCACAACTCAGCTAGTTTATCTTCAGGGGAAAGGCTCAACATTTTTGTAAATAGTGGAAATGGACTCTTGTAGTAATTCTGCTTTTAGGGAGTACATTCATTCTTCCCACAACTACTTGTTTTCTATCAATGAGTCCCACCTCCAAGCTTACAGTGCTAACAGCAACACCAGCACCAGATCTATAAAAGCCTTCTTGGCAGGTGACTAAAGCTTGTTCTTAAGCATTGTAAATGACCAACAGCTTCACCTTTCCTCCCACCCCAAAACTAATGCCACCCCAGCAAAATAAAGGGCAAGCAAAATGCAACCACCACAAATAAAGCCAACCATCCTGAAGAGTAAAGCCGCTCAAACAGGTCTGGTCACCACTCACACGTCTATACGCTCCCTTCAGAATTCTGGTATTAAGAAAGCCCCATGCATGTCAATGAGTGTCCTGACCATGATTAAATACAGCATTTTCTTTGGAGAGGCACCAGTGGCGTTTACAACCAGACTGAAAGTTAATACTGTCGGGCATTTCCTAACTCAGGACCAGGCCCTTTGAGGCATGTCAAGGAGGACCACCAGCCTACACCTCTGCAGCTTTACAGACCAATTTCACTAAGACTTTTAGTGCCTCCCTCTCCCGCATCCACCAGGATGAGGAGACACTGTGGCAGAAGGAGGGAAATGGTTCAGTCATGCACAGGTAGTTTTTGAAATGCACATTCCCTCGACACCTTGATTCATCAGGGGGCCCACTACTGAAAAGACTCAGACTCAAGAGCTGTCTGCACATGCAAGTCAGATATGTGCTTGGAAATCAGGCATCACTGTCTTTTCAGGTTACTCCACGTCTGCCCCACATCATGCACACCTAAACCCAAATTTCTAGCCAGGCACCTCGCTCATCGTTTGTGAAGCGCTTTGGATCCCTTTTGGATGAAAGGTGATACAGCAAAAATGTGAGAGATCGAGTCTCAGGTGAAAGGAATAATTCCAATTACTTGAGGCATTTAAGACTTCACTCAACACTGGCTGTCCAACAGGGCATGACCATGCACTAGCTGGGAGATGGACCAGAGCCATTAGGTCCTGGTTCAATCCATTGCTAAATTTAAGAAATAAAGTGCAGAGGTCAAACAGCGCAAGTAGTTTATATAATTAATACAGACTCACGATGACACCGGTTCAAGAACGAAGCTTTAATAATGGGCCGTGAGAAGCAAACAGCTGGCACAGAAGAGCTCAGTGGTGATGGACAGAACTTCCCAGAGCTTCAATCTTATAGTTCACATTTCCTCAAGAAGCACTCGGAACCACTCAGCCCTAGTCCCAATGTCGACATTTTTTACTTTAAATGGGTGACAATCAAGGATTTAAACATCTACAACATTTAAAAATGGTCAGAAAAGCAACTGCTAAAGAACTGGATTTTTATAGGCTAAAAAACTGGCCAGATCAATAGCTGGTGCTGTGGACAAAGCAGCAAAAACACCAAATGAAGGTATGAGCGTCATTTGGAATCCACTATAAGCTACGTTGAAGCAGCAGATCTTTAAATAGGATATTGCTGCTAAATCTATGAGACTCCAAGAACAGAGATCTGTGGGCACAGTACCGCTGAAATGTAGCATGTGGTTCGTATATTCCAACCAGGATCTCTTATGAATACCTGTCCTAGTTCAGGTTAAAACAAGAGAGGGGGCCGCATTTACCTGGAGTCACCTTGTACACTGACCCATTTCTATCCTGCGCACACTGCCACTAAGCCCAAATGCAACCCGTTTTCCTTTGTCCTCCTACTGTACCTGCTTAACTGGGAGAGTGAGCTGCTGGCCAAGTCACTGGACTGGGGCAAGCTGGGTAACGTTGCTGTGTGCTGTGGAGCTGAAGGCAGAAGCGAAGCAGTGGAGGACGCCGTGCTAGGCAGAGACCCCGCAGTAGGTAGCGAGGGAGAGGTTTCTGTCTTAGACGTTGGAACTGATGAAGTAGCTGCAAGTTAGAAAAAGCCAATCAGAAAGGAATTCCAGCACACACAACCCCACGTATTTGATTCAGGAACAGAGAGACTTTAAGGCAAAGCAGCACATTCCAGTCAATTTACCAATGTGTGAGGAATTGGTACCGACGACTTAGTGACCCGCTTGACTTGGCTATTGGAGTAAATTCCACAGGCATTGGTAAAGCCATGCCATCTTTCCTTTGGCAGGTCTAAGATTTTCACTAGTAGATTTTTAATGAGCGACATTCCTTTGTTTATTTATCTATTGTCATTTTTTTTTTTGCACCCACTGGTCTGTCACTCCCCCTCTTTGAATCTCCCGCATTGATTCCAATCTTCTTCCACATCAATTTTGAACTCCTTGTCCTCACTTTCAAGGCCCTTCCCAACCTTTGCCTACATCTCTGTTACTCTCCAAACTGGCCCACTTCCACCCTATGCTCTACCAACACAGCATGTCTTTATAATCCCATGGCGATCTCCTCTTACAACCCTGTGCTTTTGCCCATGCCTGGAACATCATCAACAACCCTGATGAAGCCTCTTCCTCACAGCTCACTTATTTTGGGTAGATGACCTCCATTCTAGCCCTCTTTATAGGGTTTTTTACATTCAGATTTCCAGCTCAATGGCTTTATTAGTCAAGAATGAAGAACTGCTAGCTGTAAAAAAAACAACTGCAGACACCAAGTCCAATAGAAAATAATAAAGGAGCTAATGGCTTGTATGCAACTAAGGTAACACTCTGTGCATCTTTCAATTCCCTTTTCTTCCTCCCCCATATCACTCTGCTCTTCTGGTTACACCTAGTCTAACTTGAAGCGTAAGCGTGACAAGGATCTGTTGTATTTGCCTGTAAAGCTCCAGGAACATCTATGATGCTGTAGAAATAAAAAAATAATTTAATCTATTTGTAAACAAGAACAAGATACTGTTTTGATACTCTTCAAGTGAGTTTTGGACAGACAAGAAGAGTACGTACAACTTACTGGTTCAGAGTTGCAAGGAAGTACATCCCTTTAATAAATGGTTTAGAAATATTTGGGAAGTGCTGACAATGAAACAAAACAAGCTACAGTCAAACATACCCTTTCATTGAGCACTTTTGGTGACCCAAACAGATGACTAACATGACTTTGTTTTACTCATCCTAGAGATGGAAAATGCCAAGAATGAACTGTTCTACTGTTAAAAGCCACCTACTTATTACAAATGCACCTTTCCCAGGGATCGCTACCTTGTAATGTTAAGCTGGAGGATTCTAGGACAGTAATGTAATTATCCTGTTAAATCCATGCTGCTGTTCTGTGATGTCCCATGAAGAATTTCAGTTACAACATGGAAATTCAGAAGTTCTCAAACTAGTTGCTGAAATTCACAAACAGCCATTTGCTGCTAAGATTCAGAAGGCCAGTTACGCCTTTCATGCGGCTCCATCTTTTTATACCTCAGGGTTTCAGTGACTACGCCCCAACAAGTTAACTATTAACTGGTATGCAAAATACAAGCGGGATGAAAAGACTCAGTCTTAAGAGTGTCCACAGTACAATTCGGATATGTGCTTGGAAGTTAAGCATCATCGTCTTTCCATGTTAGCTGTTTTGTTGTAGCTCTCTGAGGCCCCCAGTCAGGATCAGGCCCTCCCAATGTGTTAGGTGCTATACAAACAAATATTAACAGTGACCACCCTCGAGAACTTACAGTCTGAAACCAAGTGCAATGAGTATGAGAAACAAAGAGAGGGAAGGGAGGAGGAGGGTGATGAAAATAAAAGCATATAGTGATATAAGGAGCAACTGCACTACTTGATGGTTCATGAAGATGCCATTTAAAAAAAATAAAACTAGCTGGTCCTGACAGACACACAAGCCACTGCTGATTGTTAGGGTCAAAGCAGAAATGGATTTTGAGGAGGGATCTGAAGGCGGAGGTAGTGACTATCCAGATCACTCAGATGCAGGGACGGTGCCGCATGCATAGGAGGTGGCACAGAAAAGTCATGCAGATGACTGTAGGAGAAGCTGATAACGGGATGAACAAGGCTGGCATCCCTTTGCAGAGGAGGAAGCAGCCAGGGTAACACTATAAGAGACAAGGCAGGACAAGCGAGGGGGGGGGGCAGTCATGAAGGGCCTAGACAGGAAGGACAAGACACTTGCACAGGATGTGTTTAGAGAACATATGAACATAAGAACGGCCATACTAGGTCAGACATAAGGTCCATCAAGCCCAGTATCCTGTCCTCTGAGAGTGGCCAATGGCAGATGCCCCAAAGGGAATGAACAGAACAGGTCATCATCAAGTGATCCAAGCCCTGTCACCCAATCCCAGTTTCTGGCAAACAGAGGCTAGGGACACCATTCCTACCCATCCTGGCTAATAGCCATTGATGGACCTATCATCCATGAATCTATCTAGCTCCCTTTTGAACCCTGTTATAATATTGGCCTATAGTATTGGTATAGTATTAGAGAGGGAAAATCAGGCAAGAGAACTGAAGAGAGGAGTGACATAGTTAGGGCAATGGGCAGGAATATAGTCCCAGCTGTCATATTTTGAAAGGATAGGACGGGTTGGGGAAGGCATGATGTGGAAATCAGAGAGGAGGTGACAGAAGTCAAGATGGATGATTAGGAGGACTTGGACTAGAGTTTTAACAGCATGGGCAGAAAGAAAAAGGTCAGAGTTTGAGTGTGTTAAGAAGGAAAAAACCAAGGGTTTGAACATAGCCTGGATGTGTAGGGTAAGTGCGGGAGGAGTCAAAGATGGTCCCGTTTACAAACATGTACGACAGAGGACAGCAATGTTAACAGAAATTGAGGATTGGGGATGGGCAGAGACTCTCTCTGAGCTAGATTCTAGAACAAATGCATCAAATTTAAGAGTTCCAAGGTCAGTTAAGGATGATTTACTTTGCACAGCAAAGAATTTGAGACTTAAAAAGTAGCCAAGTGGGTCTTCAGAGAACTTTGTAACTTGGGAGATGAACAAATCCAATCAATAAAAAAGCAGGCCACTGTGCTACAGACAGCAACTTCCACAGCGCCCTTTGTGGTAGCTCATGCTTCGATTGTAAACCAATGTTCAACTGGAACAGTATTTTACAGATATTTTGAGAGCAACTGATTCAAAGATGGTAAATCAGCAGACTCACAAGCTTTTTTTCAACCTTAAACTGAATTTTGTGCTGATGAAAACATGCCAGGTTTACAGCTCTGGATACTCAAGACCTCTGTTCACAAAACTTGTAGGAGAAAAGAGTACTTGAAGGACCAACTGCCCTACTTCCGACACCAAACCTTGAGGGTGGTTTTTGAGAGATGGATACCTTCTCCCAGAGTTGGGATGGACACAAGGTGTGGGGCTGAGGGGGTAGGTTTACAGGGAGATCAATTTGTGCTGCTACCCATAAAAAGGAACACAGACATGCTCATACAGGGCAGAAAAGCATAGTGTTATTGATAATGATAGGAATACCAGGAAGTAATCCACAGGGGGTACTACCAGTAAGATAATACATGAAAAAAGGTTAAGCAAAAAGGCCAGACGACCACTGTCTATGCATCAGCATGTTTGTTTGCTCTACTGCAGCAGATAAGCCATCCAGCAGAGGGAGCATGTTAGCCAACCTTATTCCCAGAAGTTTGCTGCAGGATAACAAGAGAGAACAGAACAAAGCCACATTCTTTTTGAACTCCACTAAAAATAAAATTACGATCAATCTGTTCTCCAAATGGGAAGCTGGAAAATTGGTAAGAAATGTCTGATTGACATCAATGTGGGCATGAGAATTAAAAAAATAAAACTGGGAACTTCCCTGTGACTCCAAGTCTATTCAGTGTTGCACATCTGGGAGCAAATTTAATAAGACTGATTTTAATATTTCATTATTAGCAAGCAAGTAAAAGTGCAGCTCACAAGAGAATATCAGGGTTAGAGTTACCAGTGCCTTGTCCCTTTAAAAATTGAAGGTCTGCAAAGTCACTTGAAATACAGTTTTAGAAAAGCATGAGAGAAATGAAACAAACAAACCCCCAGGGGGGAAAATGTGTCACCCTATCCCAGCAAACAACCAATTTTAAAGAAAGACTGTAAAATAACAGACACAAGGTGGGTCAGGTAGTATCTTCCACACTTGTCTCTCTAATATCCTGGGACCAACACGGCTACAACAACGACACTGTAAACATTTAAAAACAGGACCGATTGGGAACTCCCACCAAAGGGATAGATTAACTGAGCCTAAGCAGTTGGATTTATCAAACTGAAAGTGGGATTTGAACGGGGTACACAGATAACAGAAGCTGTAATTAGGACAGTTTGCCTAGGACTGAGCCTCAGGAACTAGCTGGAAGGAAAACACTAACCGAGCCTGCCAAAACGGAGGAACATCTCAAGGTCCTACAACCAAGGGAAAGATGCAACTGAACTTCACCTGCAGCTCTTACGGCCAGCGCAAGAGCCAAAGGACACGTCAGGATTTCCTAGTCTGAGCACGCAATTTCAGAGAGAAAGTATTGTTTGCCTCGCAAGGAGCTGACTCTGACCTAAGATATAACCCTGTCCTTGCAACAAAACACATTCAGCCATTCAGTCCTGACCGGATAGTCGGACGGTGAAGCAACCTCGTTTAAAAGATAATCAAGTTGCACATGAGACCTTGTTTGAGAAGCTGCACGCTGCTGTAGCTGAGGAAGCAGAGAAACACCAGAAGTTGGGGAATGGAACGCAGGCTACAGCAGCAGCTTGTAATTCTGTGAAATTGCCATACGCAGAGCACAGGTCAGAAAGGGAAGCAGCACCTCCTCTTGAGTGAAAAGAATCTCCAAAGGTGACTTGCTGATGGATGAGAAGGGAACTAAAGGCCAGTATTGATGAACTCAAAAGTGCAAGGGCTGAAATTAGTATAAGAAGCGAGCTGTCTGGGTGCACACAAAAGCACCGAATGGTACGAGCACACAAGCAGGCAGGCAACCCCAGAAAAGAGGATGTGTTAGCTGCAGACCATCTGGCACAAGCGGTACTTGTGACCACCGTTTCAGATGTGGCAGTACAGAACACTACCAGTCAGATGTCATGCAGGAAAACCACAAGAGAGTAGAGGCAAAGCTGACACTATCAGATCTACCTGGATGGCCTGTATTTACCATTAAACACTCAACCTGCAACCCAGAGTACCCAATTTAGGGTAGGTCTACACTACAAGTGCTACAGCAGCACAAGTTGCAGCACTCCAGCTACGCCACTGTAGTGTAGACACTTGCTACAGCAACAAACGGGGTTTTTCCCCATCACTAATAAATCCGTCCTCTCGAGAGGCAGCTAAGTTGTTAGAAGATGATATGACATGGGCATTTCCCTACCTGGACAACGTTCTTGTGGACAGTGGCACTTTTGAAGAACACGCAGAGAATGTAAGGAGAGTATTGCAACAGTCACAGAATAATTAAGATGAAAGTTTCTAGATATATGACCTTTAAAACATTACTCGGGAAAGGTGGTATCTGTTGAAGGTTATAAGATGGATCAAACTGACACCTTGACTCTGTGCTCTCGCAGAGAAACCATGGGACAGGAGAGGGGAACTTTGTAAGCTGCTAGGCTTCATCATCTACTATCGAAGCTACATTCAACACTTTTCTAGAATAGCACAGCCACTGTATGACTTGTTGATTGTTTCACTGGAATTTGACTCATCACTGTCAAAAGTGGCTTGGAAAAAGAAGAAAGCTAAAGGGCAAGGAAAGGCATTTGGACAGATATCCTCCAAACAGCCACTTCTCTGAACTAAGCATCATCAAAACGTTTTAAAACAACTGCTACCAATAACAGCCTATCCTGATTTTGCGTAACCCTTTATCCTTCATCTAGATGCTTCCAATAAGGGACTAAGTGCAGTCTTCTATTAATATCAAGAAAGTAAATAGAGTAATTGGTATGAGTCAAGAACATGTACTACAGCTGAGGAGAATTATCACCTTCACTAAGGAAAAATGGAGTTTCTATCTTTGAAGTGGGCTGTTACTGACCAATTCCATGATTATTTCTACACACACAAAATCCATAGTTTACGGCAATAACAACCTGCTAACCTATGCTTTCACTTCTGCCAGGCTGAATGCCACAGCATACAGGCTTCAGGATTAGCTGACTAACGTCAAAGTTAAATATCATCTAGGGAAATCTAACGTGGAGCCAGATGCTTTATCCAGAGTGCCCCTTGATATGGAAAAATTTATGACAGAACGCACAAGAGAGAAGCAAAGACATTAATGCTGACTTTCAGTCCTTGGATGTACAAAAAGATGACAAGGCATCTTAGTCAGGAGCTGTTACTACCACCCCTTTGCCAGTATAAACTCATCTCCATTGGTATTAAAACCACCATAAAACCATCTCCACAAGAAGACATTTTGGAAGTTCTAAACGAAGATGCAGCTGTTGCTAAAATTCTTCATTATAAATCCATGAGGTAAAGACAAAATAACCAAGAGAACACAGGAGGATATGGTAATGTGTGTGTGAGTGGCACCATTGCATCTGGAAACAGATGGAATACTTTACTGAAAAACCAAGTTACAAAATCAACTGGTATTATCTGAAAAATAAATAAGAAAGGGAATCAACAGCTACATGAAGAGATGGGACATTTAAGAGCAGAGAAAGTAATCAGTCTTTCAAGAGAGAGGTTTAATTGGCCACAGATGAAGGCGAAGATCAAACATTATGTTACTAGAGTCTGTATGTGAGTCAAGCAAAAGAAACCTCACCAGCCAACAACAGTTACAATAGAACCATTTAAATGTGAAAATAATTTATTCAGAAAGTTGTAGCACTACCGTTTCAATTTTACATCTCACACAACCCCCTACTACTCATAAGGCAATGGGCAGGTAGAAAGGCAGAACTGAACTCTTCGCTATGTTGTGAACCTTGCTAGAAGAACAAAAGTCAAGCTGGAAAGTCTCCTTTAAATAAGGTCATCTAAGTCTATAACTGTACACAAAATGAAGCTACAGAGTTCTCCCCTCTATGTATTATATGGAAGATCTCCATGTTTGCCCACTGACATTGCATTTGGTTTACCTATACACTCAATGTATACCTGGGCACCATAAAGATTAAGCTGAGAAATGGACACAGCAGATGAAAGAAGCTTATGAACTGGCATCAAAGTGTTCTCAAAAATCTGCTACTCGTGGTAAAAATCACTATGGTCAGAAAGTGCATGGTGTTGCCCTCCTGCCCAGTGGCAGTACTTGTGCAGAATCTTTCAGAGAGGGTGACCAGGAAAATTAAGATCCTATTGGGAAGATAAGATTCATGTTTTATTTGAAAGGAAAGGGGATAGTCCAGTCTATGAATTAAAAAGCAAAAGATGGGGAAGGATGTTTTAAAGAGTTCTCCACTGCAATCTTTTAGTTCCCTGTGACAGCTTGCCCTTCGATGTAACACCTTCTAAACCACAACAAAGGAAGAAACAGAAACCAAGGCAAACTAGTGCAACAAGAGATCAAAATGAGAACAAGCATTTGGACTCCAGTGATTATGATAATGAGAGTGAAGATGAACTACATTATGTGATGGCACCAGATATTGCCCATGGCACAGATTCTGTGAATTCCAAGGCAGAAACATTTCATCCACATCTGGGAAATGAGGATGTGGTTGACGCTGTGAATTTGGAAACTGCATTAGAGTGATGTGCCATTCACACCAGCCACTGAAAAACATGAATGGCAAAATGAGACGATGGAACCTGAAATCAACAGTGCACAAGAGGGCAGATCACCAGAACAATCCACTGACACTCCAGGTCATCCAACTAGAAAAAGAAGAGCCACACAGACACCAAAATACGAACATTTAGGGACACCTACTTATCAGTGCCTAAATCCAACTACTGAACGAGTGACTGTATCATCTGGCTACCCTCATGTTTGTCAGAGCCATACCAAATGCCTATTCTTGTACCTTATCCTGCAGTCTATCCAAGATCCATGTAATACTGGTAAAGTGATATTGACTCATGGTATGTCTACTGCTCTAAAATTAAATGATGCGTTTTATAATTCTGGATAGTTTGTTATGATGTTAATTTAGTATGTTCCCTAAATAGTTTGCCATATGCCAGTGACTTGGAGTTATCATGACTATATCACTGCTCATACAGGAACTTTTATTTCTTGATATATGAATATCTTTAGGGATCTACGGTGTTCAGAACTGATTGTTCAGTTGGATTTTGGAACTAAAATTGCCAGACTTTCTGCTTAATATGAAAAACTGAAGAGAGATGCATACATTTCCACCATCAGTACCAGAACTTGTGAGAGAAAGAGAGACTCAAAGGCACAGTTGAGAATGACAGTTACGAGTTTGGGCATATGCTTTTGTGGGCTAAAACTAGCATCACTTCATCAGATGCTAAAACCCACTTCATCAGATTGCATTTGATGAAGTGGGTTTTAGCCCACGAAAGCTTATGCCCAAATAAATTTGTTAGTCTCTAAGGTGCCACAAGGACTCCTCGTTGTTTCTGCTGATACAGACTAACATGGCTACCCCTCTGAAACCAGTTACAAGTTTGTGCAACTTATGGACTTCTAATAAATCAATGAATGGACTGTATGTTATACATAGTTAATAGAAATGTTGGGACAACGTTAGATTTACATGGGGGGGGAGTGCAGCACTCAAAGGAATATCAGGGTTATGTTTACCTGTGCCCTGTCCCTTTAAGGATTGATGTTTTGCTGAGGGACTCAGAGGGGACAGCTCTGGTTGCAGCAACGTGTGCTCTGAAAGGACCGAGTAGCAATGGGGCTTGTGCAAGCTGTGTGTTTATTTTCGGATACCAAGTTTAAAACTCAAACTGTTCAGCCAAAAATTAAACAGAAAAAGTTGTACAAAACCTTAAGCTATCTATTACAATGGTGTGTATGTTGAGAGGTAGGGGATGGTCAGAAAAACAGTTGTGTCTATAATGGAGCTTTATAAACTTACTGTCAAGAGTTGGCTGTGTTCGAACACCACTGTGCCCATTCTGTAAACAAAGGAAAAACAAATGAGTAAGCCACCTGACAGAGGTGGTATTAAAAACCCTACATGATTCAGACATTTAACAGGCTGCTCATTGCAAAACTTTATATTCATTCGAAACTGAAAGTCAAGAGGGACGTCAAATAATCAACTGCCATTCCTTGGGCTAAACTATATAGTAGGAAAGTGTAGGTACAATGTTTGAGACACATCCCAGGGACACAGGAATAAAAATGAAACAAGAAAGAAGGTTGTATGAATGAGTGATGGTAAAGTCAGGGACACGTGAGAAACTGTTGTCTCCCTGATCTAACAGAACACACAACTGCACCTAGGCAAATTACAGAGAGAGGCTGGAACTCTCCATTGGGAGATAAGGTTTGAGAGGAAACAATTGCTTCTTGGATCATTCTGGTCCACAAAAGTGGATGCTCTAGATTTATAATCCTGAGCACCATCACACAGGACTTGGTTCAGAAGGGAAGTGTGATTGAGCCATTAAATTACAGAGACCAGAACATCATTATGTTTGAAATTGCTGCAAGGAGATCATACGGAGAAATACAAAGATGATGTTATTGTCATTTAGATTCACAGATTTGTAGATTCCAAGGCCAGAAGGGACCATCGTGATTATCTAATCTGACCTCCTGTATAACACAGGCCAGAGAATTGCTCCAAAATAATCCTTAGAGCAGATCTTTTAGAAAAACATCCAAACTTGATTTAAAAATTGCTGATGACAGAGAATCCACCACAACCCTTGGTAAGTGGTTCCAATGGTTAATGACCCTCACTGTTAAAAATGTATGCCTTATTTCCAGTGTGAATTTGTCTAGCTTTGACTTTCAGCCACTAGAACCTGTTATACGTTTCTCTGCTAGCTTGAAAAGTCCTTTATCAAATGTGTACTCCCCATTTAGGCACTTATAAGACCATAATCATGTCATCCCTTAACCTTCTCTTTGTTAAGCTAAATCAACTGAGCTCCTTGAATATATTACTATAGGGCTTCTTTTCTAATCCTTAAATCATTCTTGTAGCTCTTCTCCAAACCCTCTCCAAATTATCAACACCCTTCTTGAATTGTGGACACAGTATTCTAACAGCAGTCACATCAGCGCCAAAACCAGAGGTAAAATAACCTATCTACTTCTACATGAGATTCCCCTTTTTATGCATCCAAGGATTGCATTAGCTCTTTTGGCCACGTCACACTGGGAGCTCACGTTCAGCTGATTAGACAACATGACCCCCAGATCTTTTGCAGAATCATTGCTTCCCTAGACAGAGTTCCCCATCCTGTAAGTATGGTCTACGTTCTTTGTTCCTAGATATTGATATTTAGCTGCATTAACACACACATTGTTTGCTTACATACAGCTTATCAAGTGATCCAGATCACTCTGAATCGGTGACCTGTCTGTTATTTACCACCTCCCCCAGTTTGTGTGTCATCTGCAAACTTTATCAGTGATTATTTTATGTTTTCCTCCAGGTAATTAATAAAATGCTCAATAGTGTAGAACCAAGAACAGATCTCCGCAGGATTTCACTAGAAACATACCCATTCGATGATGATTCCCCGTTTACAATTACAATTTGAGACCTATCAGTCAATTTTTAATCCATTTAACGTGTGCCTTGTTAATTTTATATCGTTCTAGATTTTTAATCAAAATGTCAGCCAGCGCCAAGTCAAACACCTCACAGAAGTCTACGTATATTGCATCAAACACTATTATCTTTGTCAACCAAATGGGTAATCTCATCACAAAAAGATACCAAGTTAGTTTGGCAGGATCTATTTTTTATAAACCTATGTTGATTGGCATTAACCCTCCTATAATTCTTTATTAGTTGAGCCCTGTATCAGCTACTCCATTATCTTGCTCAGGGTCAACGTCAGACTGACAGGCTTATAATTACTCAGGTCATCCCACCTGCCCTTTTTAAATAATGGCACATTAGCTTTCTTCGTTTTCTGGAACTTCCACCAATGTCTTCCCCAAGACTTACCGAAACTCATCACTAACAGCCCAGTGAGTTCCTCAGCAATCTCTTTTTAAATTTTTGGATGCAAGTTATGTGGACCTGCTGACCTTGTGATCTTTAAAATGTAATGTGCATGTTCGCTTTGTGGTCTTGTATTTTTATTATTATTTAACATTTATAATGTGGTTGTGCCTGAAGGCCCTAACCAGGTCATGCCCCACTGTGCTATATGCTGTACAAATATAATAAACAGTCTCTGCACCGCAGTTATGCTGGCAAGATATCACGGTAGCCATGTAATATCGATTTGTTTTTTTTAAAAACACGATGCTAAGCTTCAGGAAGGAGGAGTCAATCAAAATGAGAATGTTAGCTAGAAACAGACTGAAGAGCAAATCAAGAAATCAAAATCCATAGAAACATCACAAAGATCTGCATACCTGAGGACCGAAGGGCAAGAAAAGCAACAGCAAAGAACAACAGAGTTTGGGAGGGAGGGGGTCAAAAGAGAATCTTTTTAACTAGTCCAACAGACTAAAATATCATCTCTGTGTCAGCCACTGAAGTCTCAGAGCACCACTACTACTGCTGAGCTCAACAAAACAGTTGAGCTGTAGCCTTAGTATGTCACCAACACCCAATTAATTTCTTTTCAATATCAAAGGTTTCTGAAATCTACTCACCGTGACTGCAACAGGGGTTGAGTCCGATGGAGCCATGGAGCTTTGGTATGCTATCCTGCTATGCACAGAAGTCTGGTCATAGGAGGAAGTTGTTGTTACGGGGCTAGTGCTCTGGGATGAGCAGGTCAGACTGGAAGAAGTGATGGCAGAGGTTGTGTAGGTGGACTCCTGTACTGTATTGGATATTGGCAAAGAGGTATTCAAAGGATCACTGAAAAAAGTAAAAGTTATTTATCATCTTGTTAAATGTCATTTCAGATACCTTCATGACATTACCAGCTTCTGCCCAGCAATCTGGAACTGGATACCCATTTGCTCAGCTAGAAGTTTCTCACGTTCCAGTTTCCTAGCGTAACACAATTTAATGTGGGCCTAGGCAAAGTTACAGCGGGCCCTCTGTTCAGAGCCAGCACCTTCACTCAGCAGCAGGGAGCATTTCCCCTTCCTAGGACAACTGTATTTTTCTCATCCCATGTTCCATTCTTCCTCCTCTCAAAAAGGCTAGCTATGATAATTGTTTTCCTGCTTTTTCCTGGCTAGAATTAATCTTGTACTTCATAAGTGATTTCTTATGCTTTTAGATTGTAAGGTTTAGAGGGCAGATACCACCTCTTACCATGTGTTTGTACCAGAGCCCAGCACAATGGGGTCTGATCAGACTGAGGCCTTTAGTCAATATTCTAATACTTCGAGATCTACTGACAAAAGGCACTAAATAAGAGGTATTATTATTACACAACACTGCTGCAAATATACATGACAATTTACATACACAGACTAAGATTTGTTCCCTGCCCCTAGATCTTTCTAAACTCTTTACATTTGTTGCCTTTCCAGTATTGCTTGAGTGAACATCAGGCTTGTTGGATTTTACAGGTTAAAAAGCACTTTTTAAAAACTAAATTTTCTTGCTTGTGTTACAAACATTACTTTAAGTCAAGTCATATTTTTCACATCTTGGATACTGAAACTGGGTATCCCTCCATTTCTGTTTATACGGTCTCTTTCAGGCTCCCATACATCAGCACAATGCTGCAATGTTTGCTCTGCCAAAACTGGAAGGTTTTTTTTCCCTTTCTTTTTTAAGGTTCGTACATTAACATTTACAAAAGTTAAGATGAATGGAGGAATTTATTTTTGCAAATTCTCCATAAACGTTTTAAGGAAGATTTTACACAAACAAAACTCTGAAAGAACATTTGAAGAGTAAGCATGTATTTGGCTGCTATGTTTGCATTTCCCTTGTTTCTACTGGAGATATTAGCGTTTTAATAAGGGCTTTCTGCCCACTTCAGAGCCTGGCTGCCTTTAGGCTGAGCTTACAGTGAAGTCAGAGCTCAGTTTATGGTGTTAGTCTACTGACAGATGGACGTTGTGATGCATTTATCTCTGCTGGGTCAATTATAAGAAGAGATGGGCTGGGAGGGAGCCAAACCCTCACTTAAACAGCTTTGGGAATCAGCATAATTAAAAATGATAAAGTAACAATGTGAAGGGTAGCTCATGAAAAGAGCATTTAAGTTCAATTCGTTCCCCCCTCCACGCCAATCCATTTTTCAGAATGTTTCTCTAGTCATCAGAAAAGGGACCATCCTCCTTTTAAGGGTGCCATCCTCAGAAAATAAAGATTGAGCCTTACAAGCAATTATATTTTGCTTCTGAGACAGCTACACCAAACAGCCCCTTGGCACAAGAGACCTTGATCTTCACATGCCACTTTTTTGGTACCAGAGAACACAGAAGGGTACAGGAATGAAACTCTTACTTACTTTACAGGTTTCGAGTACAAGCTGTTGCTGGGCACCTGGCTAATATTCTCATTGCTTGGGGCCGACCCAAACTCTGGGAGAGAAGGCTCTGACCCAAACTCCAGAGCTCCAAACTGAACATTTAACCCAGTCACATCGGCCGATCCAGGCATTTCCACTGCAGAGGCAGGGATCTGAAAATAAAAACAAAATCCTGTATTTACATAGTTTATATGAAAGAAATCACTCACGAACCATCTTGGACTCTAGGGAACTATGAACATACAGAACACCAAGTATGTAACTTGGTTACAATCTCACAACCTTGGCTTCTAATCTGTATCTGTGTTGGTCACTGCAGCTGCCTCTCAGATGGAGCTGTATAATTTCACCTAACTAGAATCCCTCCAGCTTAAAACTTAATTTGTCAGTCCCACATACTTTTTGAGGCCTAAGAGATTAGTAGGCACAGAGGACAGTATGACTTAAAGAGTATTTAGTTTTAAGCATTCACCTCCCAGTCACTAGTTAGTCCAAAAACACTCAGAAATGGTTGAATTTCCACACAAAGCAATCAGATATGTGCTTGGAAAATACCACATCACTGTCTTCTGGACTATAAAGCCACCCATCTTAAAATTCCCTGTTTTAAATCCAAAAGTGCATCAAGACTCCCCTACAAAGTTTCCCCACTCCCCCATGTATCTTAAAGCCTATATTTACCATATATTTGCCCCTGCTGTGTTACCCACCTTAGAAGCCGGGGGTATCCTCCGTTTCGGTGGTTTGATCTGTTTCTGCTGCGTTTGATGGGCAGACACTGCCTGGTTATCCATAGACATGCTGGGGAGCTGCAGCATTTTGCTTGCAGCCATAGAACTGTCTACTGGTGATGGCTCTCGGAGTTTTACTTGGGAGGAGAAGGACTCCAAGCCAGGAGGAGGAACAGGGACTGCCTGTGTCTGCTGTTGCTGTCGTTGGGTCAGCTGGCTGAGAACTGGGGATGGTTCAGGCTGGGATTTAAAGTCTAGCCAGCATTTGGGAAAAGAAAATCATAATTGATGCATTAAGTTCTGCTCCCATAATTGATGCAAAAGTTCTGCTCCCAGGACTTTTATGTTCCATCTCTGTAGTTGTAGTTAAAGAATCAGTGCTTTTATTCACCCCTCTCAGACCTATTGCTGCAGACTGTGTGCAGACTCAGTCAGCCGTCCACGCATTATTTTACATGAGCTTCAGATTTTGAAGATTATTTTTGCAACCACAGAGCTGGCAACTTAATTTTCTTTTTTGAAATGAAAACTGAGATTCTGAGATAGGACTAAATGGCAATTTTTTAAAAATAGGGAATTAGACAGCTGTTCATATGGCCACACAACTGCATTATACCCAAGTCCCTAGCAGAAATGCTATGTATTATTTTAGTCAGACCTTGCACTGCTCCGCAGGGAGAAGACCTGTCTGAAAGTGGGACTCCGTTAAATGCGGAAAGTGCAATTCACAATAAAAGCTAACACTCGTCTTTTGGAAGACAGGCTTATAAAAGCAATGATTCAAAACTATGGTTCACAAACACAAGAGGTCCACAGAACATTGCAGGTCACATGTTGCCAGCTTCTCCTTATTTTCAGCGGCTAAACTGCATTAAAATACAGCTGACAACAAATATTTTCTTAATATTACTTTATGTGAACAATTGCGGTTGCTACCACCACGGCTGCTTCTATACTGGCAAAACCAGGGCCTGTGTAATTCTCCATAGCAGGAGCATCACTGGAAGCAACAGTGTAGAGATTGCTCCATCTTGTCTAACCCTCCTCAGAGAAGGGTCCTCGTAATTGTGAATGGGAGGTATGGTGATCCACTCCATTGTGGACAGAAAGGGAAGTATGCAGGATGTGGGTGGTCCCAGGATTAAGATGCGATCTACACTATTAAAGAGCCAGAGAACGCATCAGAAGGTGGGATTAACTTAGTCTAGGATTGAAACTTTATACTTTGTCACTAGTAGAAGTACAAAGAAGAACAGGAGTACTTGTGGCATATGCATCCGAAGAAGTGGGCTGTAGTCCACGAAAGCTTATGCTCTAATAAATTTGTTAGTCTCTAAGGTGCCACAAGTACTCCTGTTCTTCTTTTTGCGGATACAGACTAACACGGCTGCTACTCTGAAACCTGTCATTATAGTAGAAGTACAGTCCAGGTACCATAAAACGGTCTTTCCCCAGGATTCATAGAGACATTTACAGTCATACTTTATCTTTAGGTTCCATTTACAAACCATTTATAAAAGATTATTAATAGATTTTTAAATAAATGGTTAACCAATTGCCAGAGATGAGCCGAACAGGCTGCTTACAACCATCTGTAACACTTTCTACTGAAGCCATCTATAAAAATATTTCTCACGTCTATTATGCTTATAACCTATATAATTTATTAACCTTTTATAAATGGAACCTCAATATAACGTGACCAAGTTTACTAGTCTCCTTTAGGAATCTAATTTCAAAAGAGAAGCCATTTCTCAATATTTTAAAAATCTCTGACATAACGTCTGGCACTGAAGAGTAAAAGTTCCATAGTCAATGGCTTAAAAAAAACAAACCAACCCACTATCTAAACACTTACCAAACTGACTGAGGACAGAGGATTGGCTAATAGGGGGTTTTAGATCCCAGGATGATGTGGTGGTAGCAGTGGTGGCAGTGGAGCTACTGCTGTTTTGCTGAGAGCTCGGAGAGGTGAACTGACCCAAACCTGGAGACTTCAACTGGTCCAAGAGCGGAGATCCAGTGGAGTTTGCTAATTTAGAGGATCCAAGTTCTCCAAACCCAGAACAGAGAACTGAAGACTAGGAAGAAAATAAGGAAAAAAATATTTCACTAAATGTTAACATGACCAAACCTGTGAGGTCTGAGTTAATCGCTCCCGTTGGCAGCAATTCAATTCATACTTTATCCCCAGATTTCTAATTAAAAGTGAAACGTTAAAACTTAGCAAGAAAATCCAACTGAGCACTAACAATATAGGGACAGATCCCCAGCTATTGTATACTGGTTTAGCTCCACAACGGTTAACGGAAGTATGTTGATTTACCCAAGCTAAGGATCTGACCCATGTAGTTTTGTTTATATAGTGCCTTAGAACAGTGTAAAGGTAAAGTTACTGGCAACAGTATTTAATTTGTTTCAAAACATTTTCCTACATCTAATCTCCAACTCTATTAAAACTAACAAAGGGTAGCCAACTTTCCATTAGTCCAGAAAACTCAGTAATAGTTGATATCCACACAGACCAGTCAGATATGTGCTTGGAAAATGCCACATCACAGTCTTCTGGCCTAGAATTCAATGCTTTATAAACAAAGATTTTCATTTTAATCAATATGCAGAAAACTTATTTGCTCTTTTCTCAAGAACCAAAACAAGTAGTTCACTTAGACAAGTAGTAAACTTGTGAGCACAAAAAGGTCCATCTGATACTTTTTTTTTTTTTTGGTGAGGACATTCTTAGTCCAGTGTCCTCTTATATACTTCAATACCACCTGCAATTTAAGTGCTGCAAAGCAAAGCTATGAAAAAACAAGAAACTAACTGAAAAAGTATGAAGAGTTTATTCCTTAAGATTCTGAGTCTTTAAAAAGCCAAGATGAATTTTACCAGACTCTGAGGAGAATAGGAGTTGACAGCACTGGAATTGCCGGTTCCTGATGCCATCTGGGTGTTGTGTTGGGAATTCGTGAAGACTAGGGCTTGGCCAAAGCTCTGCTGTTGGGGAGACTCGAAAGAGTTGCCTTCTGTTTCTTGGCTAGAAGTCACAGGTTTCTGAAGTAACGTTACTAGGTCAATGCTACAAGAAAGAGTAAGCTGTCGTCAAATACTCACAATTGGGATATTTGAGGAGTGAAAAGATCAAATAACTAAGATCCATACGAAGAACACTATGCTAGCAACATGATTTAACTTTTCTGGGTCTCATCTCTGCAGCACACAGCACCTCTCAGAAGAGCGAGAATCCAGCTTCCTACTCAGATGGCAAGGTCCTGCCAGCTGCTTGAGCACAGGGTTATTACCACGGCCACATTTACTGCTTCAGAATTGAAGAAAACCTTGCATTTTGTTCTGTATTTTAACATTTCAAAGTGAAATGCAGTGCAATTTGAATGTTATTTCTCTTGGGTATGTCCAAAGTACTTACCACCATGGTAGCTAAACACCCTTTGGCTTACCTGGTAAGCTCATGGAGATCAACATGATTGAGCCATGGGGGGTAAGTGAAAAGAGGTGTTATTTGCTTACTTGAATTGATCTTGCCACTCAGTCAGTATGTACTTTATATGTCTGTAGCACCTGCAACCTGAGCATCTCAAGGTATTTTACAAATATTACTGCATCAAGCTTGCCCCCTTCCATGAGGTGAGTATTATTCCCATTTTGTAGATGAGGAAACTCACGCACATAGCAGTGAAGTAACTAGCCCATTATCAGATAGGAATTCTGTGGCAGAAGCAGGAACAGAACTCTAGGCATGTGCCTGTATTTGCTCCACATTAAACATCATTAGGATTCGGAACACACACCTTTCATATACTTAATATGGCCTCTTGTACACTACAGTGTAGTCAGAGCCTAGTATTAGATAAAATCAGGTGTTAATACGAAAACAAATTCACCCCAAAAATTCTGATTAGACAGGAGCTTGTCCATTCACATCCATGCCACCTCCTGGGGGCAAACACAGGATTGTTTTCTAGTATTTTATCCAATGGAACTTTAAAGTGTGCCAAATGCTGAAGCTTCAACAACTTTACAGGGAGTGCGTGAAAGAGATTAGGCTGTGAGAACAGTCAATGGAACAAAGATGTAAATCCTCCCCCTACCTTTGCCCAGGAGTGATGTGATTCTCAGCTGGAACAGAAGATGCAGTGAAGACCTTTGTTTCAGAAAGCTGAGAAAGGGGGAAGAAAGAAGGAGGGAGAAAGCGTATTTTAGTTATATGTGCATTGAAAGTTTACATGCAGCAATATTCAAAATAAATAATCCAACTCTGGTTATGTAACTTAAAGAGATCAGTAATACCAAATCATAGTAACAAGTTGCACTGCAGATTACCTTGAAAGGACAAAGTAAACACAGCCCAATTTTAATAAGGACTTGTACACAGTTCTGCACTGATTTAAACACATTGGTGTAAGGCCTGGTCTACACACAGATTTTGTACCAGTTTAACTATATCGGTTAGGGGTGGGGTTTTTTTACCCAAACCGTTATATCATGACAGACCCTAATGCGAATGCAGTGATAGTGACATAAAGATGCCTTACCCTGGCATAAATTAGTTTATTCTCATAATGGACAGGGAATAAGATAACAGTACAATACAAGCACCTTTCTACTGGCATAACTCTGTCCACTCTAGGGGAATTGTGCTGCTTTTACTACACAGTATCGTTAAAGCAAGCCAACTTTTGTGTTTAAACAAGCCTTAAGAAACCAACTTCGTTAAATTGATGACACCACTTTTGGTGTGGATGCAGTTACACCGATAAGTGATTATATTTATATAGCTGTTAAACTGATATAAGTAAAGTTCAAACAGATAGAGTGCTCACACACAACATAACTCTCCTTTAACTAATTCCGTATAAAATCATCTCTTTAGTTATATCGGTACAACTTTATGTGTAGACCAAGAACAGCTGACCTACCAAAGGAGTGAGCAAGCATTTCACTAGAGTTTGAAGGTTGGGTCCCTTCTCCTGTAAAGCCTGACACGTTCTTAACTTTACACAAGTGAGCAGTCCCATTGAGGTCTTGGAAAGCAAGAGCCAAATTCATCTCTGCCACACAGTGTGCAGTTCCACTAACATCATTGTGAGTTACGTCCCTAAATATGCTACAGTTACTAAATCAAACTGCAAGAGTGCTCATCTGATTAGGGTTCTTTTATGGAACGATGTTCATCCAAATTGAGTGTTACGTGCCAGGATGGATTCTGATGTGTATTTTAAAGGTGACTGCCTCCCACCAATAGAGGCGAAGATCTAGTTCCGTGGGGTTGGAAGAGTGGGTTGAAGAGCTGGATGAATGTGTTTTGGATTTTATGCTGGCACACAGTTCATGCAAAGTATGGTGTGTTATGAGAAAGTGAAACTCATAGCCCCTCCCTCGTTCCCTCCGTGCTGCCTCTGCCAGTTCTTATTTTAAACTTAGTTCTTTGGGACAGAGATTCCAAACACATCTGTTATGTAAAGCACCACACATACACAGCACTATATACATAATGAATAAGGCTAAGATTTTGTCAAGGTTATTTTTAGGAAAAGTCATGGACAGGTCACAGGCAATAAACAAAAATTCAAGGAGCTTGTGACCTGTCCGTGACTTTACTAAAAGTAACTGGGGGCCAGGGCTAGCTAGGGGGGAGGGATGGAATCCCATGGGAGGTTCGGGGGGACCCGACAGGCTGAGCTTCCCACCATGGCGGGGGGCACAGCCCCCAGCTCCAGCCCCTGCAGCCGGGGGGGGGGAGGAGAGGGAGGGGCGGGGCAACCACGGGGAACATACAGCCCCTTCTCCAGAACTGGCTGCAGCTGCAGGACAGGGATGTGCGGCCCCGACTGCAGCCCCCGGCCAAGCCCTGTCTACAGCTGGGGGGGTGGTGCACGGCCCTGGGAAGCTGCAGGGTTGAGGGACATGGCCCTGCCTAGCCTGGGACACTGCAGGGCTGGAGTGCGCAGCCCTAGCAGAAGCTCCCGGAAGCCGCGAGGCTGGCTGCACGGCCCTGGCTGCAGGGTCCTGCTTCCAGCCATCCCCAGTTGCAGGGGATGTGTAGAAGTCATGGCGGTCCGGTAAAGTCACGGAATCTGTGACTGCCATGACCTCCATGACTAAATCATAGCCTTCATAATGAACAATAAAGAAGGTTAAGCGTTTAATTTCAGCCCAAATAAATTCATAGTAAAGGTTCCTGCTCCATCTATAGCGCCCTTCCCCCATTATGTGTTATTGTAGTATACACTGTACTATGCTTTCTGCAGTGTTGTGAGATTCCTGAATTATTATGGCACTAAGAGGTCAGTTAAGAGCGGAGTGGTAGGCTGTGATCTGCAATCCCTTAGTTAAATATTAAATCCTCAATATAACATTAACAGTTTCCCATGCCCACTTAACCTGGAGTAAGATCAACAGTGACTAAAAACACTCACAAACCCTGAAAGCAGGTTGGCCTGAGAGCTTGACAGACTTGAGACCATTTCAAAAGCGCCTCTTGGGCATGAAAGGGAAAAAATGTTCTTTATCCAAGTATAATGGCATGCAAAACAACGCCCAAGATGCAGGTTAGTAGCTTTGCTGTATTACATTTATGCTACGGACTGTGGCAAACAGTAAACAAGCAGCAGATTTGAGAGTCTGCTGGGATTGTGGCATTTGTCAGAGCCCATGACATGTGCAGCAGCTGAAACGGATGCCACCAGAGTTTCTTAGAAGCAATTTTATCTGCTTCTGAGTAACTGTCTGGGATAACCAGTTGTGCTACACAACAAACAAACCCTTCACTAACGTACTAGCACATTCCTAGAAATAGGTGGATGACAAACAACGATCAATTGTTTTTAAAAGTCAACTTTACAGGGGCACCTCCCCTTCTTACAGAGACATCCCTTCAAATACAAACATCAGCAAAGTTCCAAATGTAAAACCTTTGCCTAGTCACCAAGTATGCAACGTTTACCAGCTGCCAACCATCTCCCACACCCAGCTAATATGGCTTGGGAGCAAATACTCAAGATGCGTATTTAAGAACTGAAGCAAAATACAAAGCAAGAGTAACAAACCACCAAAATCAGGACCCTAACGGGTATGTCTACATTGCAGCTGGGAGTTTGCCTCCCAGCCTGGGTAGACAGCTAGTTTGGCTCGAGCTAGCGCACTAGCGGTGCGGACCTTATGGCACAGGTTCGCAAGCCCACCCAACTCCCTGGGTCGGAGCTTAGGTGGCTAGCCCTAGCCTCCGCCAGTGCTGCAAGGCCACAATGCTATTTCTAACACACTAAATCAAGCCAAGTTAGCATGAGTCTATCTACCCGGGCTGGGAGGCACCCTCCCAGCAACACTGTTACTGAGGCTAAGAAGTTAAAACTAAATGAAAATGATGGTTTTCATGCCATCTTAAATCCTGTTTAAGGGACACTGCCAATTTAATCACACTTCTGTCCATTTATTTTTTAAATAGGAGACTGGTTGTAAAAACTGTCAGGAAGACTGAGGACCAACTGTAGTACCTGAAAATAGATTTGCTTTTAATTTGACTTGCCTTCACACTGACATTGTCCCTTTAACAAAATACAATTTCATATACTAGACACACAAGGTGGGTGAAGCAATATCTTCATATATTGTAATTCCAAGTGTCTATTACTGTTTAAAAAGAATGGAGAATATCTAGATTCGTAGAGTTTAAGACCAGAAGAAACCATTAGATCATTTAGTCTGCCCTCCTGTATATCACAGGCCATTAAATTTCACCCAATTACCACTGTATTGAGAGTCCAATAGCTTGCATTTGACTAAAGCATAATCTGCACTTGGCTAAAGTATATTTCTAATTTAAATTAGTCTAGGTTTGGCTTCCAGCCACTGGTTCTGGCTATGCCTTTCTCCACCAGATTAAAGAGCCTTTTAATAACCTATATTTTTTCCATGTGAAGGAATCAATGCTTTTGTCCACTGAGACTGGATTCCACTAACACTAACAGTTTGTAATAGACCAGCCACTGAAGTCATTAGTTTGTTGCATGAGTGTAGCTGGCAGGCCAGAACAGAGGGATCCCTGATGTGAAGTGAGACAAAATTAGCCCCTAATCCTGCAATGAGCTCCATCTAGACCAGGGATCAGCAACCTTTCAGTGTGCCGAGTCTTCATTTGGTCACTCTAATTTAAGGTTTCGTGTGCCAGTAATACATTTTAACATTTTTAGAAGGTCTCTTTCTGTAAGTCTATAATATATAACTAAACTATTGTTGTATGTAAAGTAAATAAGGTTTTTAAAATGTTTAAGAAGCTTAATTTAAAATGAAATTAAAATGCAGAGGCCCCTGGACCGGTGGCCAGGACCCAGGCAGTGTGAGTGCCACTGAAAATCAGCTTGCGTGCTGCCTTTGGCACGCATGCCATAGGTTGCCCACCCCTGATCTAGACCAACCCCTGTGCCCACATGGGAGCACATGACTTTGACGATGCTCCAAATGGATGCAGTGGTTAGCCTGCATAGATTTCTTTGAACAAGGCCTTGCTCCTGTAATAAACCCAGTTATCTGACTATACTATACCAACAACAGAACCACTCCTCAGACATTAAAAAATTGAAGACAGATTTCTAATTAATCTAAAACGGACACCTTTAAAGAATGCACACGGGATAATAATACATGGCATTTTTAATACTTTCCAGATTACAACCTCCTTGGAAGCTAAGAAATAATTTTCAGATTTGTCTTTGAAGTGAAACACTCCTCTCTCCAGTAAGAACCAAACCACCACCGGTCTTGACCAAACATTCTGAAGCGAACTCCTCCTCTTAGGAAAATGGGCATAGAATATCTCATGTCCACATACAGCAGAAGGACCTTGATTTTTAAAGTTCTCTGTTTTCTTATCAAATTTCTCCACTCCACCCCAAACTCCTCTAACCTGCATATACACAGTGGTTTGTTATTGTGGGCTCCTCAGACTGGGCTGGTAGGTATTATTAATTATTATTATTAGAATACCAAAAATGTGCTAAATGCTTTACAGATATGAAGCAAGGCCACTGGCCTGAGAAAAATACATGAACATAGGTTGGGGGGTGGAATGTAACAAAAAAAAAAAGTGATTATGTGATAATGCTATGTCTTGATTTTTTTTTAATAGTCCGTTAACACAAAGAAGACTGACTCATGTTTTGAAAAAAGTCAAAAGAATGATATAGATCTTATAAACAGAAAAACATGGATCAAAATTTCATCAGTCGCTAATTTTTCATACTTAATCTACCAGTTCATAAAGATCATTAGATAAAGTCTCACGATGCGAAGGGTGTAAGCTCTAGACAATGCAAGGAGAAATGTGTGTGATTAACTCTCATAAGTGCTAAATAGTAGAGTTGGGTTAAGAATGAAAATATTTTAACTGTAAAAAAAAATGTAAAATTCTTATATTCACAAATAGTTCACCCAGCCTCATAAAATGGGGAAAAATATTTTTTCATTATTTGAACCAAAAAGTAGAATGAAATTCATCAAATAATTGATTTTATGATCCCCATTAAATAGGAATGAACTAAAAAAAAAAATTTTTCTTACAACCCCCCCATACGTTGCAAAGTATTACACAGGACATTTATTTTGGACTTCTGAAGGAGATGCACAGACAGCACAGAGGGAATAATTGCTGTCTACCCATCCACATATACTTACATCTTCATTCCAGTCTTCTGCCGTCCATTCTTCTATCGAATTCTTCCATGCTCCTGTTGCAGTATGGGAGAGAAGAGAAATTAGGCACAAATCCTAAGACTCAATATCATATTTCAGTTTGCACATTAAAAGCCATCTTACTGTCCATCTCTAATTACAGTTATGAATGCAGTACATGCAGGAAATTATGGTCAGGACCACAAGATGCTCTACAGAGTTAGGGTCTTTTGGGAGATATTTTTAACATGTTCTCTAGAATGTAAGGATATTTCTAGCCCTTCTGGTACCAGAGATGGTTTATGTTAAAGGAAAGACTACAGTGTCCTTAAATCAGCCATCATACTCAACAGCACCAAGCATGGTGAGACATTCACCCCACTCACCTTTCCCTGATGATTAAACTTAATGATGGAATCCTAAAGCAGAGCAGAATCTGAGCTCTGCACCACCATAAACATGGGATCCATACTGGCTGCATAGTGGAGCAAGACCTGCTTAGACTTCCAAAGTCTGCATCTGGACCAGTGATACTCAGACCTCAGTGGTTCAGGAGCCAAATCAGTGATCAACATAACCCAAAAGAGCCACAGTAGTGTGAATTCATTTTTTTTATTTACTATTTATATATCTATATTTCTCACAGCAAAATGACTGACCAAGTATTATTATTTTATCAACTACAATTGGTAAGCAACATAGTAAAAGCATCCTGATTGGTTAATAACTTAGATTGGCTAATAATTAAATCACCAGTGTTTTAATATCATCATGTGCTGTAAAGAGCAGCATAAGACACATTAAAGAGCCACTTGCGGTTTGCGTGCCTCAGTCTGCGTATCACTGGTTCGTACCCGCCCGAGCTGAAAGCACACAGTGGTGTCCCCTCTAGGACATTCCCTTCCTGCCTGCTGGCTGTCTCCTCAGGCCAGAATAACCCCAGTCCACTTTCCCGAGTTGGAAAAGAGCCATTTTACAGGGAAAAAAATCTCATTCCTACTGTGGCAGCATGGCGGTTGGCCTGCCACTCCAGCTGCAGCATGGTGCCAAGCCAGTTATGTCACAAGTTGCAGAGAGCAGGCTGTGCAGCGCAACAGGCAGACTAACACATGCAGGAATAGCACAGCAGTAGGAAACGTGTTTAATGTTTTTAAAACTGGTCTCTTCTATAGGAAACAGCAAGGGAGAGAGGGGGCACACAACAGTCGGAAACCATTAGAAAGCAGGGGTGTTGGGGCACACACACTTGAGGCTATCCCAGGAACAGAGCCATCCAATTAACTACACAACCACAAGCGAAGCACCCACCAGCAGTAAAATTTTAGTTTCCATCACCTTTGATCAAATGTAGCTTTGCAAGACACCTCCGTTTTAATCGCATTCTTGTATTCGGCACTGAACCATTTGCAATTAATGAATTTTAAAATAAAGCCCCTTGAAGACAGCATCAAATCCAGTCTGCGCTAATTAGATCAATATAGATGTATATATATCAATATATCTGAGTTCATTCCTCTGTGTGTTTTACATTGCAGCTAAGTCAAAGACAATAGGATTGAACACTGCTGATTTGGCAGTCTGAACAGCCCTGCCCCCAACATACACATACCCCCCAAAAAGAAAGAGGACTTATACCTTGGAGTCCACAATTATTTGGCAGGTCCTGAGCAAGATAATGTCCACTCTGGGCTGGCTCTGTGGAGCAATATAAAATTGCCTGAAATGTCTCTCAATCACACTATACCAAATAGCCTCTCACTGAAGGTCTCCATATAAAGTGTTGAGTCATGTACCTGCAGCTAAGCAAAGTAATTTTTGGCGTTTCTAAGGAAAATTCAACAGATCTCCAATTCCTGGACAAACTCCCAAGCTAGCCCATGTGTCCATGGCTTTTCAGACAGGAGGAAGCGCCCGAGTAGTATAATTTAGATGTGGAAGTTAAGTCAGCCTTTCCTCTGGCTTCTTCCTCTGGCCAATGGAGGATTGCTCCCTACAGGATATGTTCTATATGTATTTTTATTAGTTTCTCTTAAGAATGCATCCTCCTGTCTTCTCTGTGTCTGACTTGTGTAGATGGTAAAGCTCTTCAGGGCAAGGATGGTCTCTGTATTTTGTGTCAGTACTTTAATAATAACCAATAGTGCTCCAAGTGTTTTGTATAGTTTTGTTTTACTCAAGTCCAGGAATGAGGCTTCCACCAGTCTCCTTGGGAGAGTATTCCAAACCAACAGATCCCACAGTTAGGACATTTCCCTGACATTCAGCCTAATGGTTCATCCCATTCTTATTTTATACCCCCACTGGATCAACCCGTTTTCTGTATTGGCACCCTTCAAACATTTGCAGACAATGAGCACATCTCCCCCACTACGCATTTTAGAAGATTAGCCAAGTTATACGCATTTCATTCTCACTCTTGCTTCCAAAGTCAATCCCTTCAGCCTCAACTACTTTGTTGCTCTTCTATGAATTAATTCCTATTTGCCAACGTCTTCCTACATTGAAGGGCCTGGAACTGCATGCAGTATTCCAGGTATGATCTTACTACTAGCACAACAGGTCCTCTCTTCAACGTCTTCAGGCCTCTGCAGTCCAAAAAACAAAACAAAAAAATCATCACACTGGCTTTAATGCCACCTTTCAGCACTGCAAACTTGAATAATTTTCTGTCCACTATTGCCCTACGTCTTCTGGGACACTGCAGTTTTTACAAGTATCTTCTTTCTATTGAAAGTTTGTGTTTTGTTTTTCCAAGTATGTTTGTTATGCAAATTTCATCCTGGATTTCCATCTGTGGGTGCTTCCATTTTTCTTCTGTAAAAGCTGGTTTATCTGCTTTGCAACAGCTCAACAAGCCAGAAAAAGTGCATTCTACTCTTTATTGCTGGTGTGATTGCTACTATTTTCCTCCTAATTTCTGGCTACTGATCACACCTTTGGGATTTTCCCCCCCTTTCACTCCAGATGCATTACCTTGCACTTTGAGTGTGAAACTTATTGTATCCCTATTTCTAACCTTCCTAGCTCCCCTGTTTTATGTTATCCTTGTAATTTACAGCCCTTCCCAATTTAGTATAATCTGCAGTTTTCATTAAAATGCTCTTTCCATTTCAACAATGGACCTAAAACCCAACCCGTTGCAGCTTCCCCGCTACACCATTACCTCCATCCTCTGAGACTGATACATTGTGGTTTATTGCTCTCTTTTCTTTGTGGCCCTTCTGTCAGTTTCATAAATCACATGGGACTGCACATATCCAAGAGAACCTGAATTACATTTACTAGTAAATTTGAGGCACAATATCCGTACTTTAATAAACATTTGATCACATCTACTGCATTCTTCTCATTCACTGATTTTATAATTCCATTTAAAAAAGTGATGGAGTCTGCTTTGACTTACTCTATATAAAACCCATGCTGTTTATTGCTCAGGATCCCATTATTTTCTAGATGCTTACAGGTTTCTCCCATAGCAAGAAGTCACAAGAAAGTGAACGCATTCAGTGTATTGCAAAAAATCTGAAAGCTGGGGGCATCTCTGGCCACCTGGCAAGTACCCCATTAACCTACCAACTCACCGTGCTCAGGTTTATTGCTTTTCATGTAGGGATCATTCATTTTGCATTTTTAAAAAGTTCTCTTTAAGCTATTTATAACATACCCTACAACTATAAAAAAAATAGTGGACAGAAGCAGCAAATAGGGAAAGTGTTATAAACAGCTCCCTTCTACTCTTTGGAATAGATATGTGTTTTAACTTTTTGAGGTTCTATAAGTTACTTAGACTCCTCCTCTCCTTTCCTCTTCACAATCAGCAATACTTTGGTGTTGTATTGTAGCATCATGGAACCTGCTGGCTTTTCCATGATGCCCCAGAATGATGCATCTCGAGAGTATCCATGCACCCTTTTGCGACTCTTCTGCCATCTGTGACAGCCCAGGACATCATATTCTAAGGCATCTTTAGTGCAAACGAATTTCATAAGCTAAAAAGAATTTTTAAACAGCTGAAAAATTGAGCCTGGTTAGTGGGAGGGGACAAATTAACAAGTACGATGAACTCAAAACTGAGTTGATATTAGAAGGACATCTTTTAAAAATCTAAAAAGGCTGAACTGTTTCGCAATTTGTGGTTTAGCATTTCTCCACTAGCTGTCCAGTACTTTTCTTCCAGCTAAACATGCAAAAGCTGTTCTCAATTTGTCTTTCCGCTCCTACCTAGAGAGAACGCCTCATTCTGCTTTTTTTGTTGCCCTTATCTTTGCTTTGCATGCATTCTTGCTTCTTTGCATTATTCTTATTCTTCTAGTCACTCGCTCTTCAGTATGGTAATTTTTATGGTGTTCCAGGCTTCTCTCCCCACATTTTCCTCCCACTGCACCACATTCACCAGCTTTCCATAGTCTTCAAAATTTGATTTCCTGGATTTTAATACCCTTGTACTGATGTGTTCTAGCCCATTTAGAGCTAGGAGAACTTCAGTGGCTCATGCTTTAGCACCAAACTCCATTACCCCCACACCATTTTTCAGTGAATTCTTCTCCTATTGCTAAGTAGATAAGGATAGCTCCTCTATCTGGGTCACAAAGTTGTCCTCTATGTAACTTAGGAATCTATGCTTAGTCATATTTAGCTGTTCTTGTTACCCAGACATCTGGGCAGAGTCCTCTATTTGCATACATTCCCATGATTTCAAATATCAATAGCTCGTCCAAGAATTTCTCTAGCTCTCCATTCTTGGTAAGGAAGTGAGGATGAGACTATCAATTTCTCAGTGTAGATTCTCCTTTCTTGTATCTTTTCCTTTCTTCATTAAAGTAGGATTTCACTGCTTCTAAAATAATTAGAATAGCATGCCCTGCCTCCCACCTCTCTTCTCTGTCCCTATATAGCAAGCACCAATGCTAACAATATAGGCGGGATTTCACATGTAGTATCACTTCTACTGCCTCTTCTGGCCTTAAAACTTATTTTTTAAAAACAAACATCAGTGAATTAATAATCTTTATTCTAGCTATATGTGTTTTGTTGCAGGACAAATCTATTCAGAATCATTCATTTTGGAAATACATGCCAGATTTTGAGCTAAGTAAAAGCTCCTTTCCAACTAGTTTAAAGTCTGCCTAAGGAGCCATACCAGCTCTGAACCGAGGAGATTCGCCTCCTATCCGCCTAAATGGAGAATGTCTAACGCAGAAAGTCACATCACAAGGGGCTCACACCAGTGCTCAGTGAAGCTGAAATTCTTCTCCTTACATCAGCAGTTGGTCACCAGTATCAGCCTTTTCTTTTCATTTGACAGTAGAAGGGTTGTCAAAAAGATGACCTGCATAGAACCCTTCCATCTTGTGAGCAATTCCTCAGATGCTGAAGTCATCCATTTTCCTCCACTTGCTGGACTACTGTAATTAGTGGCATTTCTCCAGCATGACACAATCTTTTTTTTGCCCTCGTTACATCTCTTGACCTGGAACTCAAAGAGGCAGCATGCTATTCTGTTCTTTTTCTGAGTCACTGATAAGTCAGATTATGTTCTTTGCTTTCCAGTGCCCAGACAAGACCACTCCCCTTTCAACCTACTGTCTGTGTCTCTGCCTCTAACCAGCAATGAACATTCCACCCTTAAGATTCCACCAATAAATACAAAACCTCTTAATCTTCATATGAAGATACAGACTGTTCTGTTGGTAGCAATTCTATGGCCTATTCACATTTCTAGTTATTTCCTGTTCTGGAAGATGGCAAGATCTAGGAACTGTCCCACACCTCAGGAACTAATCTGTTTGCCTTCCTGTATGGTAACAGTGGGAATTTCAGAAGTGTCTGAGTGACTTAGGGGCACAAGTCCCAATGACTTTCAATGAGATGTGTGCTTGTAAATCAGTCACGTGCTTTGGAAAAATCTCACCGTAATGTACCTATCAAAAATTCCCTATAGGGAAACGGATTTAAATAGCTCCATCCTTCAACCTCTCTCGACTCGTGGAGAATTGTTTATGATTTTGCGAACGAGAACTACCCTTCTCATTGTCTAACCACAGAGCTGTACATATACAGCCATCCTGCGGCTGGAGTACTGCAGCAAGCTGTATAAGGGAGCAAACACCCATGTCAGGTGAGAAGAATAACTATTTTCAGATGTTCATAAAAAAAAAACCACAGCAGAGCTGTTATTTTAAGGGCAACTTGCTACAGCTTTTCACTCTAGCTCTTCCACTTTTGGAAGCCATCTTACCAGTTCCATCATCTGCATCATTCTGACCAGTCTCCCAAACTTCTGGTTTTGGCCCAAAGCCATCTGTGGCAGAAGTCTCCGTGTAGTCTGCAGGGTTAAATGTCCTAGGGTTTAAAAAGGTTGGGGAGAACAGAAATATGCAGAAAGTGAATACCAAAGCCACACAAAATGAAATGCCCCAATTTATGGTCTATATGTGTATTCGATTTTTACCAGTTCTTGTCTTTCATATTTCGATAATTTGTGTTTTTCAAAAAAGTCAATTTCTTTTTACTCCCAATAAGGGTGGGGGTGTGCCACCAAAAACCAGGACAGTATTAAAAAAGGTCATTGTAAAGAAACTGAACAAAACCTAGTTCCTAGAAAAGTTGCAATACCAGGCAAACCATTCCCATCCTCATTAAACGTAAGATTCTGCTGTGACTGTAAACTAATCAGTTGATCACTTCTCAGCAGGATACTACTGATGAGAATCCCATGTCGCATGCTTTTAGGGTGCCTGAAGTTTATGCAGGGCAACACGTAGTGTATCAATAAGATGGTGGCATGGAAGTGTTCTGAAATACCCACTGAAGCCAAAACAGCTCAATATCTAAGAGGTAGCCAAATGGTGACCTGGAAACTGATTTGTTGGTTTAAAAAAAAGGGGGGGGGAGGAGGGTGTTTTTCAGCCTATCACATGAGAATGGAGTGAGAAGAGGAAAAGAGCAAGGAGAAGGCTTATCTAAGGCGTGGAGGCAGCCAAGACACGAAGGAGAAGAGAAAAAACTAATTTTTATTCTCTTGACACCACGGATATGATCCACAAAGTTACGGAGAGCAAATAATGGCTAGAGGCAACGAGGTTACAGTCCTGCAGCCCAGATGAAAAGAGTTCTAGTGGCAAGACTGAAAAACCCTTCGAGTTGTGGGTTCAGCAGGGGAAGAAGCTTCTTTTGACTCTGTACCAAGGTGCACGCACGTGCAAAGAACATTGTCTACAATGTAAAACACTAAGAATGGAGGGAAGCTCCCGCACCTTCTGGTAGAAAAGATTAGATTCACTTGTCTTTGGGGTTTTTTTTAAGAATCTACATGCTTCAAACTACAGCCAAACAAGTTTCCATTCAAACTGGGCTACAAACCAGCCATGCAGAACTTTCAACCTGCAACGCCTCTGGATTGACTTGGACTTTCCTTGAGGGGCTGGGTTACATGGGGACAAGCTCAGTTTTCTGGGGACTGGGGAGGGATTTTGTTTAGGGTGTTGGTTGTTTTTTTTTTGAGTGTCTCTGACATGTTGACTCCTGTGTACTCACGTTAATGTTAGTTTGCCTAGAGATGGCAATAGTCACTCTGTATACAATGAATCAAACTAGTATTTCACAGACAGTTTCACAGATCTGTATGCTTTCTATCCACAGCAATATACAATATATTTGTCAAGTAGTATTAACAAATTGGACAGCGATTAACACTCCTGCTGTGTTCGATTTTCCCTGAGAACTATATGCATCACTTACCCCATGCCTTGGGCTGAAAATCTCCCAGCTCCTCGCCCTCTACCACGTCCAAACCCTACAAGAATAGAGAACACCCTTTAATAGCACCCATACAGATGGGCTGATTGCTAATCTGTCACACAGAATACTGGGTTTGAAGAAGATAGAATGGATGAATTTACTAAATACAACTTCTCTCTCTTCAATTTCCCTCAAAGTAAAAACCCTTCTCTAATCCATGCAAAGAACAAAATATTAGTTCATCATAATATTTAGTAGTATAGTAAAGCAACCATTCTTTCCTCTCCTCTTAAAACTAGAAGAGGAGAGGATCAAACAGACCAAGGTAAGGGCCAACATAAAATCTTATGTACATCATACACATCAACACAGTGCCTCTACTGATGAATGTGCGTATCAACCTAGCTCTGTACAGCACACAAATTAAACTTGGGTGGGCAAATATATACTAGAAACTACTCAAACCATATTTTTTTATGTCTAGTATGGAGATGTATAGCTATTATTATCTAAGTTCAGTGTACAGTCCTTACCTTTCAATTTCTTGTGCTTGACTCCAAGGCCTGCACAATCCCCAGCCTACACCTCTGGCCTAATCACACTTTCTCTCATTCCTCTGCTGTACCAATGTTAGCCTCAACAACCCATTTTGTTTCCCTCTCCTACTCCTGGATCTGGGCCTTTCCCCGCAGCTGTCATGCAGTCTCAGTTCGCCAAGCCGAAACTCTCGCCTTATTCAAATTATACTTAAGGCTCAGATTTTGTCAGATATTTCTTGTAAAATAAATGGACAGGTCACAGGCAACAAAGAAAAACTCACGGAAGCCCATGACCTGTCTGACTTTTACTAAAAATATCTACGGGGAGCTGTTGGGTCCCTACAACCCTCTCGGTGGCTACAGAAAGCGCCTCGCTAGCAGCTCCGGGTCCCCCCGCCGCTCACGGCAGCCGGGAGCTGCAAGTTACCTCTGGCCAGTGACTGGGAGCTGTGGGAGCCACACTGCCAGATGCGACCAGGGTACCCCACAACTACCAGCCATCGCAGGCAGGTGGGGGGGGGGGGGGGAGAGACTTCTACAACCTCCGTGACAAAATCAGAGCCTTAACTATATCCAATGACTCCATTCTTACACAATGCGGCTGGGGGATGGCTGGCACTGGGGGGGGGGGGGATGATGCGGCGGGGGGTGGTTGGCACTAGGGGAGAGATGCAGCGGGGGGGGGGGGGGGGGGGGGATGATGCGGCGGGGGGTGGTTGGCACTAGGGGAGAGATGCAGCGGGGGGGGGGGGTGTTCCCTCCTTTGGGTTGCACTCTTGACATCAGCCTCAGACTATAAGCTCTTTGGTACAGGGACTGTCTTTACTTTCATGTCTTGCATAGTGCTGACAACATACTAAAATCATTTACATTACTTAATAATCCCAAAAGCAGTCTGCTATTTTAGCATTTTAAACTGTGTTTCATATGTGCAATGCATTTCTACATCTGGTTTTCCATTCATTTTTTGCTATTAAAGTGTGATGGCATACTTTTTGAGAAGAAAATACATTCAGAGTTCACAACTACCTATTTGCATAACACAACACCTGGGAGCCTAGAGCTCCAGCTACACAGCAAAGCAGAATATTTTATTATGGATGCATTACAGGTTACCAAAACAGGGATCTTTAGGTTGCCCCAACTATCAGGACAAGTATGAATTTGTAACATTACCCTGCTATTGTAATCTTTTAGGGCTCCCAAGTACTAGTTACAGTCACGAAGCAATTGGATGCATGTGTGAATGTAAGCTCTTAAACACATACAAGAAAGCAAGGCATTGCTTGTCTGACCTTAGTATGCTCCAGGAAGGGCACTAGAATTTGGACCAAGTTTATCTGTTATTGGCAGATCTGGCCTCAATCTCTCTCTAATTTCTCTCCAAAAGAAGAGGAACTATTCAACTCAGGATACCTAATGTGCACAGCAGGGCTGGAAAAAGAGGACATTGTCAAGGTTCCTTCAGAAACAGAGTCCAGAGAACCCCAATGATGACAGTATAAATATTTAGATGGATAGGACTAGTTTTAGATCATTAGGGAAATGTCCTGCACAGGGGCTGCTTCTGGAAAGGGCTGAAATACCTAACATAGGCAGATAGGTAGGAATGTTTCAAGGATTCTTCAGCAATATCATTCTGAACATTGACAGAGGCAAGACACTTGGATAGTAACCTACAGAACTAGTCAGGGAGTTTAGAATAGAAAGATATTGTTGATTGAAGCAGGAGGCATTTGTTTCAATAGCTAAAGCAGAGGTATAAGAAGCATATAAATGGGTTGAGCAGCAGAGCACCTCTTCCATTTGACCAGGTGAAAGCATTACAGAAGGAGAACTTGACATGTAGGTGAAAGATTAGAACATCAGAATGGCCATACTGGGTCAGACCAAAGGTCTATCTAGCTCAGTATCATGTCTACTGACAGTGGCCAATGCCAGCTGCCCCAGAGAGAATGACAGAACAGGTAATCATCAAGTGATCCATCCCCTGTTGCCCATTCCCATCCCTGCCCATCCTGGCTAATAGCCATTGATGGACCTATCCTCCATGAACTTATCTAGTTCTTTTTTGAACCCTGTTATAGTCTTGGCCTTCACAACATCCTCCGGCAAAGAGTTCCACAAGTTGACTGTGCATTGGGTGAAGAAATGTTTCTTTTTGTTTTAAACCTGCTGCCTATTAATTTCATTTGGTGACCCCTAGCTCTTGTGTTATGCGAAGGAGTAAATAACAATTCCTTATTTACTTTCTCTACACCAGTCATGATTTTATAGACCTCTATCATATCCCCCCCTTAGTTGTCTCTTTTCCAAGCTGAAAAGTCTCAATCTTATTAACAGGTTTCAGAGTAACAGCCGTGTTAGTCTGTATCCGCAAAAAGAAGAACAGGAGTACTTGTGGCACCTTGTTAGTCTCTAAGGTGCCACAAGTACTCCTGTTCTTCTCAATCTTATTAATCTCTCCTGTTCCATACCCCTAATAATTTTTGTTGCCCTTTTCTGTACCTTTTCCAATTCCAACATATCTTTTTTGAGATGGTGCAACCACATCTGCATGCAGTATTCAAGATGTGGGCATACCATGGATTTATATCTATCACTTTCCTAAAGATTCCCAACATTCTGTTAGTTTTTTTGACTGGTGCTGCACCTTGAGTGGATGTTTTCAGAGAACTGTCCATAATGACTCCATGATCTCTTTCTTGAGTGGTAACAGCTAATTTAGACCCCATCATTTTATATATGTAGTTGGGATTATGTTGTCCAATGTGCATTACTTTGCATTTCATCTCCCATTTTGTTGCCCAGTCACCCCATTTTGTGAGATCCTTGTGTAACTCTTTGCAGTCTGCCTGGGACTTAACTATCTTGAGTAGTTTTGTATCATCTGCAAATTTTGCCACCTCACTGGTTCCCCTTTTTTCCAGATCATTTATGAATATGTTCAACAGAACTGGTCCCAGTACAGACCTTGGGGGACACCACTATTTATCTCTATTCTGAAAACTGACCATTTATTCCTACTCTTTGTTTCCTGTCTTTTAACCAATTACGGATCCATGAGAGGACCTTCCCTCTTTTCCCATGACAGCCTTCTTTGCTTAAGAACCTTTGGTGAGTGACCTTGTCAAAGGCTTTCTGAAAATCTAAGTACACTATATCCACTGGATCAACCTTGTCCACATGCTTGTTGACACTCAAATAATTCTAGCAGACTGGTGAGGCATGATTTCCCTTTACAAAAACCATCCTGATTGATTCTTCCCCAACAAATCATGTTCATCTATGTGTCTGATAATTCTGTTCTTTACTATAGTTTCAACCAATTTGCCTGATACTGAAGACAGGCTTACCGGCCTGTAATTGCCAGGATCACCTCTGGAGCTCCTTTTTAAAAATTGGCGTCACATTAGCTATCCTCCAGTCATTTGGTACAGAAGCTGGTTTAAGTGACAGTTTACAAACCATAGTTAGTAGTTCTGCCATTTCACATTTGAGTTCTTTCAGAACTCTTGTGTGAATAACATCTGGTCCTGGTGACTTCTTATTTAATTTATCCATCTGTAACAAAACTTCCTCTAACGACACCTCAATCTGGGACCGTTCCTCGGAGGTGTGACCTAAAAAGAATGGCTCAGGTTTGCGAATCTCCCTCACATTCTCAGCCATGAAGACCAATGCAGAGAACTCATTTCGTTTCTCCGCAATGGCCTTATCTTCCTTGAGAGTTTCTTTAGCATCTCAAACGTCCAGTGGCCCCCTGGGTTGTTTAGTAGGCTTCCTGCTTCTGATGTACTTACATTTTTTGCTGTTACTTTCTGAGTCTTTGGGCTAGCTGTTCTTCAAATTATTTTTTGGCCTTCCTAATTATATTTAAGATGACAATTTAGTGCATGAAGAGAGTGCTAGAGATCCTGTCCTGGTGTTTCATTAAGGACTGAAAAATGAAGTTACTGGTTAGGGCTAGACATGCAGCAATTTCACTCCATATTCTGACCTCAAGAGAGGTGGTCTTCTAGGTAACAAACCAGGAAGTTCTATTCTGGATCTTTTTTAAAGGCCTTATCTACATGGGAACACTCAGGAAAATTGATCCAAATAACTAAGGGTATGACTACACTATTGAGCCTATGCTCACATAGCTATTTTAGCACAGTTATGCCAGCATAGCCCCCAAGCTTAGATGCAGCCTACCCTGACAAAAGGAGTATTGCCGTCCGTGTAGGAACACAACCTTCCTGAAAGACATAACCTATATCAACAAAAGCCCTTTTCTGTTGGCATAGCTGCATCTAAACTGGGGGTTTTATGTTGGTCTGGGTGTGGGTATTTTTGACACCATCTAACACAGCTATGCCTACATAACTTTGAAGTGTAGACCAAGCCTAAAGCTGTAAGTTTAAAGTGGATTAATTAAACCACATTAAGCGTCTGTCTGGATGGTCTCATTCAGAATTAAAGTGGCCTTAGTTCAGTTTAATTCATTAAGAGAAATTAATTAAACCAAATTAAG